AACGTGTGTAGCCAGACATGGTAACACATGCCTCACTTGGGAGGCTGAGGCAAGAGGATTGCTGTGAGTTCAAGGCCAACCTGGACTACATCGTGAGGCCCTGTCTCAAAAAAAAAAAACTGTGGGCCAGGGATTTAGCTCAGTGTTTTCACCGCCTGCTGTGCAAGTGCAAGGACCCGAGCTCGATCCCCGGTACCAAAAAACAAAACAAAAAAACAAAACAAAACAAAATTGTGCAGGGGATTTAGCTCAGTTGTGCCGCCGCCTGCCTCGCAAGCACAAGGTCCTGAGTTCGATCCCTGTTTCCAAAAAAAAAAAAAAAAAGAATAAAAATTGTGTGGTTTCTGTCTGGTGATTGGATATTGTTGCAGTTTAAATCTAAAATGTCCCCCATCAGTCTCATGTGTTTGGGACTGTGGGGTGCTGCACTCATCAGTGGGTTCATCCAAGCCTGAGTCAGCAGCTGAATGTGGTACTGGGGGTGGGGCCTCAGGGTGGTGGCCAGGATGAGTACATTCTTGTCCCCAGCTCCTTCCTTCTCTCTGATTCCTTGCCGCCATGAGTTGAGCAGCTGCCCTCTGCCAGGCTTCCCACCTCCATTTCTGCTGTGGAGCCAGGCAACTGTGGACTGAACCAGGGGCCCAAAATCAACCGCCCATCCTTGAAGTTGCAGGTGTCAGGCACTGGGTCTCAGGGACAGGAAGGTGACTTTGGGCAGGGCTGGCTCTGTCTCTCCTGTGTCTCTTGGTGCCCCTGCAGGGCTGGGCCTGGGCAGAGGCGGGGAGAGGTCTGGTGCAGCTGGTCATGAGGGCTTTTCTGCTCCAGGATGAGGACTGCATTATAAATGAGCACCACTGGGGATTTAGCTCAGTGGTGCCACTGCCTGCCCCGGAAGTGCAAGGACCCGCGTTCGATCCCCAGTACCAAAAAAAACCCCGCTGATCCAAGAAGGCGCTCGACAGCCAAACACCAGCCAGTCCGAGTGGGAAGAGGGAAGGCATCACCCAGAAGCTGCAAACCTCAGTGTGACTCCTGGTCTTCTCTGTGACACAACCCCGAGACAGTCACCTTATAAGGAAGAAAGGTTTCAGTCTGTGGTGGACGAGGCAGGAGGAGGCCTCCTCACTTTGTGGTGGGTGCAAAGCTAAGAGACAGGGCAGCCCCTCCCAGCAACACTGGGGGCTGGGACCAAGCCTGTAAGTCAACATACAGGCTTTGGGGGACACTCCAGGCACACGTGCTAGCAAGTTGGGACAATAAGCTGTGCCATCTCACCAATAATATGAGCCCCCCTCCATCCCCAGTATTGGGGATTGAACCAGGGTCTTCACATTGAGCTACATCCCTAGCCCCTTTTAAATTTTTAATTTTGAACCAAGTGTGGTGGCACACACCTGCAATCCCAGCACTCAAGAGGCTGAGGCAGAAGGGTTGCCATGAATTTGAGGCCAGCCTGGACTACACAGTGAGTTCAAGGCCAGCCTGGATTACGTAGAGAAGCTCTGTCTCAAAAAAAAATTTTTTTGAATTTAGAGACAGGGTCTCACTAGAGTCTCCTGCCTCAGCCTCCTGAATAGCTGGCATTACAGGTGGGTGCTATTGTGCCTGGCTAATAGGAACTTTTGGTACCTGGGATTGAACTTGGGACCTTGCGCTTGCAAGGCAGGCGCCGGAACCACTGAGCTAAATCCCCAGAGATAAGGAACTTTGATGTGTGTTAAAACATGGATGATTCTTAAGTGTATCATGCTGCGTGAAAGAAGTCAGATTCCAAAGGCTACATATTTCTCATCCCATTCAAATGACTTTCCAGAAATGGCAAAACCAGGGTGATGGAGAATAAGTCAGTGATCAGCAGATGTTCCTGGGGTAGAGAAAGGTTAAAAAGAAGCACCCTGAGAGAGAGAGTTTTCTGGGGTGATGGAAGGGTTCTGCACCCAGCTTGCAGTGGTGGTTATACATGTAACGGAGACAGGGTAGGGAGAGCAGCGAGACCACCCCCAGCAGGCCTTGTGCAAGGAAGGGGTTGGTTTATTCATGTTTGTGAGAGTGCATAGCGGGCTGAGTCTGGGAAAACAGGACTCAGCAGCAAGTGAGGTGAGAAGAAGACTTTTTTTTTTGGGTACCTTGGATTGAACTTGGGTCCTTGCGCTTGTGCAGCAGGCGACGAAACCACTGAGCTAAATCCCTGGCCCAGAAAACTTTTAAAGGGGAGGTGAGGAGTTTGCTGCCTTGAGGAATTTGGAGGTGGAGAGAGTGAGCCCATACTTCTTGGGACACTGGTGGCTGTGGGTGTTATCAGGTTTCCTGGAACCGTAGCATCTGGGACATGATTTGCTGTCTTTGTTCTTTTTTGTGGTTTCCTGCCATGCCTTCCGGTAACGGCCTTATCCATTGGGCATGACAATACAACATTATGATTTGTCAAAACTCATAAAACTGAGCTGGGTTTGGTGCCGCACATCTGCAATCCCAGAACTTGGGAGGCTGGGGCAGGAGGATCAGCACAAATTTGAGGTCAGCGTGGACTATGTAGTGGGTTTAAGGCCACCTTGAACTACATAGTGAGACCCTGTCTCACAAAAAATCAAAGCCAAAACCAAAACCAAATGAAACTCATAAAGCTTGCTGAGGGTGGAGGTCCATGCCTATAGTCTCAGCGTTCTGGGAGGCTGAGGCAGGAGGATTGCAAATTCCAGCCCAGCCTGAGCTACTTATTGACTTAGATCTTGTCTTTAAATAAAAAATATAAAGGGCTTAGATATAGCTCAGTGCAAAGGCCCTGGGTTCAACCCCAGTACTACAGAAACAAAACAAAACAAAACAAAAAACCTCCTAGGACTATGCACCAAAAAGTGAATTTGGTTGTGCTATAAATAAAAAAATTTTTTTAAATAAATTTTTTGTTTTTGGTACCAGGGATCGAACTCGGGTCCTTGCACTTGCACAGCAGGTGGCGGAACCACTGAGCTACATCCCCGGCCTGTTATAAATAAATTTTAAAAATTAAGATAAAAAGCAATGTTAGAACTGATGTCTTAGAATCACACTCTTCCATGCTTACAACTTTGGAATTAGGAACCTGTAGGATTGTCAGTCAGCCAAATTCGAGCTCCCTTTCTGCTTCCATGCTGGTTGATGATAGTCGCCTCCCTTGCTGAGGTTACTGTGAGCGGCACCTGTTGCAGGGCCATCTTTGCTAGTGGCATGGGCATCATCGTTATTGTTATTGTTATTATTTTGGTCTTTGAGACAAGATCTTGGCGTGTATTTCAGGCTGGCCTGGAACTCACAGTGATCCTCCTGTCTCAGCCTCTTGAGTTATGATCATCCTTACAGGCAGTGGTGTTTTCTGAGAGACTCAAAGCCCGATAGGCCTCAGTTTCTCCCCTAGCCCAGTGGGGCTTGGACCCCTGGGAAGCCGGGCAGGCCAGGGCAGGAAACGCTATCATTGCTGTGCTACAACATCCGCCCCAGGAGCTGCAGAGTTGCAGGACCACCATCGGGGCCTCCCTCTGGCGGGCTCTGGGCTTTCTGTGGTGGCTGTGGGCTGTGGCCTCGGTGGCTCAGTCCCCGCTCAGCTCATCCCCTTCACCTGCATGGGCTCTGCCTGGGGCTGGCGATTGAGGCTACAGACTCACACGGTTCCCACTCAGTCACGAGCTCTTCAGCTTCTCTCCTTTCCATTGTGTACTTTTCTTTTTTCTTTTTTTATTGGTACCAGGAATCGAACTCAGGACCTTGCACTTGCAAGGCAGGCACAGTGCCACTGAGCTAAATCCCTGGCCCTGTGTAATTGTCTTTTTGTACTGAGGATTAAACCGGGGTCTTTACACTGAGCTACATTTCACATCCTTTTAAAATTTTTATTGAGACACAGTCTTACTAAATCACCAAATTGCCCAACCTGGGCTCAAACTTGCAATCTTCCTGCTTCAGCCTCCTAGAGTGCTGGGATTACAAGCATGTGCCACCACACCTTCCATTATGTAAATTTAAAGCCCCTCGGTCCAATTTAAAAGCACAAAACAAGCTGGGCATGATGGTGCAACCTGTAATCCCAGCACTCAGAGGGAGACTAAGGCACAAGGACTGTGAGTGCAGAAAGTCTTGCTGAGCGACACTCTGTACTGATCTCCAGAACCTTGGCACCAAACACAAATGCCACCTCTGCCAAGGTCTCAGGGATTCTCTACCAATATGGATTTGGAGGGGCAGCCAGGCTCTGGGGTGCAGCTGGGTGGTAGAGTGCAGCTGAGCTTGTGCCAGGCCGTGGACTCCATACCCACTACTCAAAAAAAAAAAAAAGAAAAGAAACTAAAAAGCAAAGCTCTTGTGAGACATGGAGCCATTTCTAAACCAACAGCTGCACCTTGTGGGGGCCTGTCTCCCGATCACCTCAAGACTCTGGGAAGAGGACCGGGGATTTAGCTCAGTGGTTCCACCGCCTGCCTCGAAAGAGCAAGGACCCAAGTTTGATCCCCAGTACCAAAAAAACCCCCCAAAACAAAAAAAAACTCCGGGAAGATTTAACAACAAAAGCCACAAGGCCTGGGCCCACTCCCCAACCCTGCCTGAACTTTCTCTCTCTCCTTTTTTTTTTGTTGGTACCGGGGATTGAACTCGGGAACCACTGAGCTAAATCCCCAGCCCTGCCTGAACTTTCTGTGCCTCCCAGCACCCTGGCGCAAGTGAGGGCCGCACACTGGGCCCAGGGGACCCTGAGCTTTCCTCTAGAAGCCCAGAGCACTAGGAAAGAGAGACGTCCTGTCCTCCGCTGGGGAGTCTGAGGCCAGGAGGGCAGAGGCTCGGATTTTCACTGGCTTCCTCCCTTCCTGGGCCAGGGCTACCTCTGCTGGCTGAGCCGACCTCCCTCTGAAGCAGGGGTGAGCTGGGTGTGGGCCCCACGCTGTGCCCCAGCCTGGGTGCCCCACAGGCACCAGTGACACTGCGGAAGGAGCAGTCACTTCCTCTCCTGTGGGCATCTCTCCATGGGGCTTTAAAACCACAGCCACGGGGTGGGAGTGACCTTTGCCTGCAGTGGAGCCAGGACCCAAGAGCCCAGGACATGGTGAGTGGACTTTCTCTGTCCCCACCTCTCTCCTTCTTGCGTGTCTCTCCTTTCCTTCCTCCCTCACCCTGCCCTCTGTGTCCTCTCCATCTCCTCATCCTCATCCCAGTCTCTCACACGCCAAGGATGGATGGGCTGAGGCTAGGTGTGGTGCTGCAGGCTTGTAATCCCAGCATTCGGAGGGTTGCACATTGGAGCCCAACCTGGGCAGCTGAGCAATTTAGCCAGGCCCTGTCTCAAAATAAAAAATAAAAAGGAGCCAGGTGTGGTGGTACACACCTGTAATCCCCAGCCCTCGGATGGCTGAGGCAGGAGGATCTCCACAAATTTGAGGCCAAGTTGTGCTATAGAATGAGTTCAAGGCCAGCCTGGACTACATAGTGAGACCCTGTTTCCAAAAAATTTAATAAATAAGTAAAAGGGCTGGGGATGTAGCTGGGTGTGGATTCAATCCCCAGTACCAAAAGGAGAGCAAAAGGCGCTGAAGGGATTATAGGAGCCCCACCCACCTCACAAGGGACCCCAGAAGTTTCCCCCAGAGGGAAACCCTGGAGCGGGGTGTCTGAGCCGCTTAAGAACTCCACACGTCGGGTGGGGTGTGGCTCCACAGTAGGGCACTGGCCCGGTGTGGGCCAGGCCCTGGCTTCCATCCCCAGCACCTGAAAACTTTGGAAAATTCTCCAAGTGGAGGAATCCAGAAAGGGGCTCCTGGCAGGGCTGAGGCTGGGAAGAGTTTGCTGGGAAGCATGGGCAGGGCACTTGCAGGGCAGTGCAGATGATCTGCATCGCCCACGTGGGGAAGCTGAGGCCCAGCAGGGCCAGAGGTGGCCCGAGTCCCTAGGGCAGGGTTGGAGCAGGCTGCTGTGGTCCCGCTTGTCTGGGAGGAAGCTAAGCCTCGAACGACAGCTGTGGGCACCTGTGGCCCGGAGGCACTGGCCTCATCCATCTGCCAGAAAGAGGAAATGGAAGGTGCCCGATGCCTGGGAGGGAGGGGTTCAGTGTTGCTTCACCCCATTCCGGCCTCATGGCCCCCTTGGGCAACAGGCATTCAGACAGGATGGCCAAGAGGGGCTGCCTTTTGCCTTTGCTTCATTCCCTAAGTGCGATTCCAAAGCACCAAAGGACCGTGTGTGTGTGTGTGTGTGTGTGTGTGTGTGTGTGTGTGTGTGAGTACTCGTGTGCTCCCCGCCTGTAATCCCAGCACTCAGGAGGCTGAGGCAGGAGGATTGCTGCAAGTTGGAGGCCAGCCTGGGCTACATAGAGAGACCATGTTTCAAAACAAACAAAGGGGAGGGGCCCACAAAACCCCAAAGGGTATTAGAACAAAACCATGGTTCCCGCCCAGTCCAGGGCCTCTGACTCCTTGTCATTGCCCCCAGAGGCCACCACAGAGACCAGTTTGTCATGGCCCCATCCAGAAAAAGGCTAGAGATGCTCAAGAACAGGGAATAGAATCAGAGAACAAAATCAGGAGTCATTGCATGCCCCAAATCCTCATGTCTATGGAGTCACATCCTTTTTATCAGCCATATAATATTTCAGTGGGGAATTTCATCCTTCTCCGTGGAAGTTTAGGCTGTTCCCAATATTTTTTCTTTTTTATTTTTTTGGTACCGGGGATAGAACTTGGGTCCTTGCGCTTGTGCAGCAGGCGGCAAAACCACCGAGCTAAATCCCTGGGCTCATCCCAATATTTTGTCTTTAAAACTAAGGCTCTACCTCTACTTGGAGCTTTGCCCCCAACTCCCTAGGTTTCTTGAATGGAAAGCACGGGCACGTTTTGTTTTAATAGAAAGCATGGTGCCAGTGATTCTTTCCCAGCTAGGAAGCAGAAGGTTAAGTCTCTATGTGTCAGATAGGATGGGCCACTGTGTAGCCCAGGCTAGCCTTGAACTTGCTGCAATCCTCCTGCTGCAACCTCCTGAGTGTTGGACTTAAAAGTGTGTGCCACCACTCCTGGTTTAATTTCTTCTGCATGATCTGTAGCCCTCCAACCTTGGCTTAGCCACCTGCCAGCCACAGTGACCCTCTCTAAGGGCCCTCTCTTCCCTCGGGTGTGTCTGCCAAGGTGCAACCCTGACTCCCACCCTGCCATTGGTCCTGCTGCCCTTGAAGACACTTTGTTGAGGGTTTGTTGGCCCCAGGGTGTTGCCCTCTGCTGGGCTGGCTGAGGATGTGCAGCATCTCCCAATTTCCCTGGCATCACCCTGGGGATTAAATGAGATGCGTGGAGAACTGCTTCAATGGAGCCTGGCAATACCAGCTGCTGCTCCCTAGGGACCCCGTCTAAGCCATCCAGGTGCCTTGCCTCACCTGGGCCATTCTAATCTCTTCCTCCCAGCTTCCATTCTAGATCCCTCTCTCTGTGACATGCAATTGCTCCTCTTAATCTTTATTTTTAATTTGGAGACAGTGTCTTGCTAAGTTGCCTCAAACTTTCGATCCTCCTGCCTCAGCCTCCTGAGCAGCTGAGACCATGAGCGTGTGCCACTGTGCCTGGCAAGGGCTCCTATTAAAATGAGCATGGGTAGCCGGGTGTGGTGGCCCATGTCTGTAATCCCAGTGCTGGGGAGGCTGAGGCAAGAGGATCACCAGTTAAAGCCTAACATGGGTAACCTGGCAACTTAGCCAGAACTAAGAACAAAATAAAAAATAAAGGGAATGTAGCTCAGTGCAAAGCCCTGGGATCAATCTCCAGTTTCAGGGACAAACAAACAAGGAAATCTGCCTTCTAACCCCTTTCCCTCCAGCCCTCCTCCCCAGGGACAGCCTCTGTTATAAGCTTCCAGGGCTGGCTTGTGCACGCGCACGCGCACACACACACACACACACACACACATGCACACACGATGAGAGAGAGAGAGAGAGAGAGAGAGCTGCTGCTTTCCCTTTCATAGACAACACGTTTGTCCACTCTCTGTCCTTGTTTTTCTCCTTCACCACAGGATATGGAGGGTTTTCTCTAGAGATCTTCCAACATCAGTAAATCAACCCTCATTCTGTGTGTGTGTGTGTGTGTGTGTGTGTGTGTGTGTGTGAGAGAGAGAGAGAGAGAGAGTGGGGCCTGAATTCAGGGCATTTGCACTAAGCTATCTCCCCATCCCTTTTAAATTTTTTTTTTTTAAGACAGAGTTTGGCTAAGTTGCCAAGTTACCCAGGCTGGGCTCAAACTCAAGATTCTCCTGCCTCAGCCTCCCGGAGTGCTGGGATGACAAGTGTGCACCACCACACCTGGCCACTCATTCTTTGTGATGGTGGTGTAGTGTCCTGTTGTAGCGTCGGGCCATTAGGAGCTCAGCCGGTCTCCTCTTGCTGAGCATGGCAGTTAGTGCCAACTTTTGGCGGGACTCTGGGATGGCGAAAACTGGGAGGGCGCATTGAATCAGGAAAACCCTGAAACCTCAGAGTGCTGAACTCAGCATGTTCTTTTCTGCCCGCATGAAGTCAGCAGGTGGAAGGGACAGGGTGAGGTCACACAGGAAGGGCATTTGCCAGCTGGTGGAAGTGAGAGCCGGGCGAGGACACCCTGCTTTGCCTCTGGGGTCTGAGTCATCCTGCAGCCAGAGACAGTTGAGAGCTGGTGAAACCTGCAGAGGTGACTGTCAGGGTCCCGGGTCACCTCTGAGGCGACATTCAAGACACTAATGACCTGCTGGACCCAAAGCAGCCAACAGAAAGGAAGGAAGCCAGGATGTTGGGCGGGGAGCACTGAGGGGCTGTTGGCCCAGGGAAAGGTTTCACACAGGGCCGGGGATTTAGCTCAGTGGGGCCACACCTGCCTGGCAAGCGCAAGGTCCTGAGTTCGATCCCTGGTACCCCCTCCCCCGCAGAAAGATTTCACACATCTCAGCTTTCTCTTTGAGATATTTTCAAAATTATGGAAAAATTACAAGAATAGTATAAGAGCTAGGTATGGTGGTGCACACCTGTGATACCAGCACTTGGGAGGCTGAGGCAGGAGGATCACTGTGAGTTTGAGGCCAGCCTGGGCTACACAGTGAGTTCACTGCCAGTCTGAACTGCAGAAGAAGACCCTGTCCCCCTCCCCCAAAAGAATAGAAGTCTCCTATACTTTAACCTAAGGTCTTCAGATTTCCTCTGTCACCTATCTGTCCACTGTCGTTTCGCTGAGCCGTCATCTGAGTGTCCAGCATTTGTGAATCTGTGTATGCGTCTCTCCCACTCGATTTGCCCCCATTTGTGCAGCCACCCATCCTCCGTCTGTCTAGCCCCCCCCCTTTGCTGATGTTTTTGAGAGGGAGGGGCAGGCCCTGCACCCCCTGTCCCCAAGCCTGCACAGCCTATTTCTCGTGATCAAGGACATCACTGCCAGGAGCCCAGCAGCCACCACCTGAGGTGACAGTCTTCTCCAGTCTGTTGTCCAGCCTGTCCATCACCCCTGACACCCTTTGGAGGGGGTGGACTTCCTGCTCGGCTCTGTACAGGATCTCGCATGCCTGTGGTCGGTACTGACTTTCTTTATTGAGTAAATTTACATCATGTAAATGTACAGTTCAGTGGCATTTAGTGCACTCACGATGTTGTGCAACCACAATCTCACAGTTCCATAATTTTCTTTTTCTTTTTCTTTTTTTGAGAGAGGGTCTCACTGTGCAGTTCTGGCTGGCTTTGAACTCTTGGAGATTCTCCTGCCTCAGCCTCCCATCTGAGTGCTAGGATTACAGGCTGGGCCACAACACAGACCTCATAAAACCTCCACCATTCCCAAAAGAACCCCAGGCCCCTGAAGCAGCGGCTCCCCAGTGGAGCTCCCCACCCAGGCCCCGGCACCTCCAGTCTACTTCCTGTCTCCCACTACACCCCTCCTGGACAGTGCATATCCATGCCATCGACACTGTCACCAGGATTCCTATTTGGGGTTTGCCTCATTGCGGGGCCTGTCAGTGTCTCGTGACAGTGCCTGGCTGAGTCACCTCTGCTCTGGTGACCTCGCCCTGTTTGTCATCTCTCAGCCACCGCGGGTTTTCTTTTTTGGTACCAGGGATTGAACTTGGGTCCTTGTGCTTGCGCAGCAGGTGGTGAAACCACTGAACTAAATTCCCGGCCCCTACCCCGGGTTTTCTACATCCAGACTCTCATCACCACTGGTGCCCTTGGACAGCCCCAGCTGACCCTGGGCCACAGAAGGAACTAGAAATAAAGAGAGAGAACAGCTCAAGCTGGGTGTGGTGGCACAGGCCTGTAGTCCCAGCACTCCAGGAGGCTGAAGCAGGAGGATCCCAAATTTGAGCCCAGCCTGGGCAACTTATTGACTTAGGGAGACCCTGTCTCTAAATAGAAAATACAAAGGGGTGGGCACGGAGCTCAGTGCTAAGGCCCAGCTTGTGGGTGTTGCTTGGTGCCCCCTCAGCTGCTTCCTGCCTGTGGTGTATGGTGCCTGTTGCCCAGATCTGCCCTCCTATCCCCAGCAACACAAGAGCACCCCCAGCTGGGTCTGTGCGGAAGTACTCAGGACCCTTCTGTCCCTTATTTTATTACGGGGAATTTTAAACACAGGAAAGTGGAAGGATGTTAAGAACCCCAAGGGCCGTCACCCAGGTTATCGAGGCTCGTTCTGAGCCATGCAGGGCTCTGGCTTCCCCTCCCTCCCTCCCTGTCTTTTGCTGGAGTGTTTTGTTCTTGTTGATTATTGTTTTGTTTTGAGACAGGGTCTCACTATGTAGCCCAGGCTGGCCTCAAACTTGAGGCAATCTTCCTACCTCAGCCTCCCAAGTGCTGGGATTATAGGCATTATAGGCTCCTTTGTTGTTTTTTCTTTTGTAACGGGGATCGAACTTGGGCCCTTGCGATTTCGAGGCAGGCAGTGGAACCACTAAGCTAAATCCCCAGCCCCTTAGGCTCCTTTGTTTTTGAACTTGTTACCCTTCTTGATTTCTTTCATTCCTTCTGGTCACCCTTCCAGCAAGGAACAATTGATATATGATTCTTATTTCTTATTCTTCCTCTTGCTGCACCCAAACATTTTGTCTCTACTTGAGCCAGATGAGTCCTCTGATGACCTGGGGTTTTCCAAGCACTGACAGGCAGGACGGGTGGCCTGCCTGGCTCGGGAGGGGCTGTGACGAGGAGGGACAGGAGCAGGAGCAGGACAGAGCTTGAGGACACCCGGCTGCACAGGGGCTGGGCTCAGTTCTCCCCACCGAGGGCCACGGTGAGGCCAGCCAGAGCCCAGGGCGAAAGGACCCAGCCTCTACCCTGATAGTAGCAGCAGAACCCGAGCTCTGCACTTCGCTGTTCGGCAAAACCCCTGCCCATAGTGTGAACCCAGTGGGGAAAGTTAACAGGACCCCAAACAGACAAACAAGCCCAGAAGCACAGGATGCCCAGGCCCAGGCATGTTGCCCAATACTTTCGAAAGCTGCTGGTCTGGAATGTGAACCACAGGCCAATTGCAAGCCGTGGACCTGTTGCACAAAAACGCAGGCTCGGAAAAGAAGAAACATCAGCCAGTGTTGTCTCAAAATCTGGGTGTTTTTTCCACCATGCATTTTCTTTGCATTCATTTTGATTCTTTTTATTTATTTATTTTGTTTCTCAAGACAAGGTCTTACTTTGTAGTCCAGGCTGGCCCTGAACTCACTATGTAATCCAGGCTGGCCTAGAATTTACAGCAAGTCTCCTACCTCAGCCTCTTGAGTGCTGGGATTACAGATGTGTGCCACCACACCTGGCTTTGATTCTTTTAAATATTGCATTAAAGTATTATTTATCGGGCTGGGGATTTAGCTCAGTGGTTCCACGCCTGCCTTGCAAGCGCAAGGACCCGAGTTCGATCCCTGGTACCAGAAAAAAAATTAAAGTATTATTTATCTCTGTGACTGTGTTTTTGGGGCACCCCTTAAATTTTGTGCCCAGGGTAAATGGGGCAGCACTGGGCTCCCCAGCTTCTTGGGTGGCCACTGGAAGATGGAGCCCAGGCCTGGCCACGTGCCTATGCAGATACAAGACAGGAAAAGGGGGTGACAGAGTGACATGTGTACAGGGATGTCATGTGCATTGGCAGGTGATATTAAAAATCTAGCTCTGGGGATGTAGCTCAGTGATAGAGTGGTTGCCTAGCATTTGTGAGCCTTGGGTTCAATTCGTTGCCCTGCAAAAACAACCCCCCCAAAAAACAAACCAAATCAAGCCAGGTGCCGTGGCACACACCTGTAATCCCAGCACTCAGGAGCCTGAGGCAGGAGGATTCCCACGAGTTCAAAGCCAGCCTGGGCTACACAGTGAGTTCAAGTCCACCCTGAACTACATAGCAAGTTCCTGTCTCAAAACAATAAACAAAGAAAATAGAACTCCTCTAAGGAGCAGCTGTCTGGAGCACTAGAACAGCTTTAACCATTTGGTCTCTGGGTGGTGATCAAGTCCAGAGGCTTCAGGACAAGGCGAGGGGGGCAGGGGACCACAAGGCGCAAAACCTTTCAATGTGTTAATAAATGCAACACCACCCAGTGAACTCCCAGCCTCGGTTTCCCCATGCCCAGGAAGGGGCCGCAGGCATAAAGCACACAGCTGTGCCGACTTGCCGGGTGCAGGCGGCAAACTCAGACTCTCCCACCTCTCTGATTCCACTTAGAACACCACAGAGGAGTACGATTACGACACCTTGCACCCTGACAGGCCTGTGGACAACCCAGTGCAGAGGCTGTCCACCGGGAACGTCTGGGCCTTGGTCATCTTGGCGGTTGTCTTTCTGGTGGGCGTGCCGGGCAATGCCCTGGTGGTCTGGGTGACCTCGTTTGAGGCCCGGCGCAACATCAACGCCATCTGGTTCCTCAACCTGGCAACGGCTGACCTCCTTTCCTGCCTGGCGCTGCCTGTCCTGTTCGTGTCCATCTTTCGCTTCAGCCACTGGGACTTCGGTGACACCGCCTGCAAAGTGCTGCCTTCGGTCATCCTGCTCAACATGTACGCCAGCATCCTGCTCCTGGCCACCATCAGCGCTGACCGCCTGGCACTGGTGCTCAACCCCATCTGGTGCCAGCGCTTCCGGGCCGGTGGCCTGGCCTGGGCCGCCTGCATTGTGGCCTGGGTCCTGGCGCTGCTGCTGACCATCCCGTCCTTCGTGTACCGCAGGGTGCACAGGGAGGAGTTCTCCACCAAGGTGCTCTGTGTCAGTGACTACGGCCCACTCGGCACCCACAGAGAGAGGACTGTGGCCCTGGTGCGGCTGGTCGTGGGCTTCCTGGGGCCACTGATCACACTCAGTGGCTGTTACACCTTCCTCCTGATGCGGACCTGGAGCCGCAAGGCCACGCGCTCTGCCAAGACGCTCAAGGTCGTGCTGGCCGTGGTGAGCAGCTTCTTCATCTTCTGGCTGCCCTATCAGGTGACAGGCGTCCTGCTGGCCTGGTTCCATCCGACCTCATACATCTACAAGAACACCAAGGGCCTGGACGCCCTGTGTGTCTCCATCGCCTACGTCAATTGCTGCATCAACCCCATCATCTACATTGTGGCCGGCTACGGTTTCCATGGCAGGCTGGTCAAGTCCCTGCCCAGCGTCCTTCGAAACGTGTTGACTGAGGACTCACTGAACAGGGAGAGCAAGTCTTTCACGCACTCCACGGTGGACACCATGCCCCAGAAGAGCGAATCGGTGTGAGGGGAGGCCTCCTGGGCCACCCTGTGCTGGGCAGTGCCCCTTCCTTTCGGGGCTCTCTCTCTCTTTGGAGATAAGGTCTCACTCTGTGGTCCAGGCTGGCCTTCAATTCACTATGTAACCCAGGCTCCAACTCATGGTGATCCTCCTGCCTCAGCCTCCTGAATTCAGGGTCTTCTCGCTTAGCTACATTCTCAGCCCTTTTTTATATTTTATTATAAGACAGGGTCTCACTAAGTCGCTAAGTTGCCCAGGTGGGGCTCAAACTTTTGAACTTCCTGCCTCAGCCTCCCCAGGTCTTTCTGTTCACCACATTCTAACTCAGCGTTTGGTGAGCAGGTGTTGTTTTGTACTCTTCCCTGTCCCTTCCATCTTCCCAGCCTGGTGCCTCCTCTTCCAATCCTCATTGTTGGGGACATCCAACCTGGCTCTGCATCCTACATTTTTTTCCTCCATCCTACACTTTTGCAAAACAAACAGAAAGCAGTGTCCTCCGATTATCTGCACACAGCTGTGTGTGTGCACAGGCCTGTGTGTGCTGGTCAAGTGTAAGTAGAATCCATAGGATGCATGTAGAGAGCACCATTCTAGCTTTTAAATGACAGCTCTGTGTTTATTTTCTGGAGAGCTGGGGGAAAAAAGGAACTGGCATCTCAAAAGTTACCTCTTTTTAGGACAAACCCCAAAATGCATGAACTGATCTAAGCTTTGGTGTGTTCATTTGAAGAAAATCATGAAGTTAGAATGTTACTTGAGTTTTTTGTTTTGATTTTTTTGGAGGCTGAGTCTTGCTATGTTGTCCCAGCTGGCCCTGAACTCCTGGGCTTGAAGATCCTCCTGCCTCAGCTTCCAGAGTAGCTGGGACTACAGGGACATGTCACAAGCCTGACTCCCGTTTTTTTCTTTGAATTGTAATTTCATTTTATCCCATCCCCCCTCTCCCCTCCTTATGTACAAAAGCTTTGTTTCCATTTTTTCCTTCTATGTTCGCTTTTTTTCCCTTGTCCCTTCCTTCCTTTCTCCCTCCCTCCTCGCTTGTTCCCCTTCCCATTGTTTGTTTGGTTTTTTTAATATTAAGTGAAACGCAGGACAAAGACTGAGTGAGGTGGGGGCGTCTGGGCTGGGCAGATACGCAGCCAACAGTTAACCTCCCAAGAGTGGGATAACAAGAGAATTTGAGATTTTTTTCTTTGAAAACGGCTATTTTGTTTGTACTTTTGAAAAAATGAACCTTATTTGGCGGTAGTGACGGTACAAAGGGAGCCTGGACGCGCTTTCCGAACTCGGCCTGGCATTCACATCTGGCAGAGCTGCTTAGCGCTCCCAGCGGGAGGCGGGCAACCGCAGGACAGTTCCAGACCTCCTGTGCCCGCTCTCTCGTCCCGGGCCCGGTCCCCTCCCTGTCCCGCCCTGTGACCCCGCAACCAGGAATCCACTGGCCTCCGCATTTTGCCATTTCCGGAGTGTTACTCAATGGACTGGAACCTTCTGCGCTTGCTGTGTGCGATGTATGATGGAAATAAAAGATAACGTGGGAATGCCGTGCGACTCGTGAGGTGTGATTTCCACGTGGGTGGTGCGTGTGCTCGTGCGTGTGTGCGCACCCGCGAGAGCAGGGTGCAGGCCCACGCGAGCACGGGTGTGCTGTTGGGTTCTCTAGTGGAGCACTGAAGACGTAGAACAGAAGACAGAAGGGGCCGGGCGGCGGAGAACTTGCCGGGCGTGCACAAGGGCCCGGCTGCCAAACTCAGAGATAAACATTCGCGTAGGCAGACTCGCATGCGATGACAGTGGAGACCTCTGGAGGGCGTGAGTGTGCCGAAGGTCCCCAGGCGTCATGGAGATGGAAGGCCTGCTCTACTGGGCCCAGCACTTAGGGTGGAGGCTGCCTGGGGACCTAGGGAGGCTAAGCCGGAGGTCCAGAGGCCATGGGGGGAGGAGGGCTTGGAAGGGAGGTTTGTTGAGTTTTTTGCTTGTTTATTGCTAGGGTGGAACCTAGGATTTTTTTTGAGACAGGATCTCACTGTGTAGCCCAGACCGGCCTTGAATTTGCAGCAATCCTCCTGCCTCAGCCTCCGGAGTGCTTCGATGACAGGTGTGGACCACCATGGGCTGCTGTATGTGAATTTTTGATTTATGATGTCTTTGAGGTTTATCTCAGTGTAATCTCATTGTAAATGGAGAAATAGCTGAATGTATTAATATAGTCACATGAATGCTATTATTCCAATATATTTATGGGCCGGGGATTTAGCTCAGTGGTTTCGACGCCTGCTACGCAAGCGCAAGGACCCGAGTTCGATCCCCGGTACCAAAAAAAAAACACCAAAAACCCAAATACTCAATGTATTTATATTATCTTGCTCTATATGATAGCTAACGTGTAAGTAAATGTAATAAAATGAATCATATTTTATTTAGTTCAATTTATCCAAAATATTATTATCTAAACACATAATCAACATAAAAAAAAAATCCCTCTTCCTCCTTCTCTCCCTCCCAGTACTGAGGACTGAGCCCAGGGTCCAAGCACCCCATCTCCGAGCTATAGCCTGGCCTTTTTATGTCATCTTGAAACAGGGTGTCACCACATAACCTAGGCTGGGTTCAAACTCGCGACCCTCCTGCCTCTGCCTCCCTCTCAGCTGGACCTAGGCTGCCCCACACCCAGCCTGTGTCGCCTTCTCGTGCTCTCTCGGAGCTCTGCCCTTGCTTGGTCTTGTGCCCTCGCCTGGTACCTTCAGCCTCTCTCTTTCACACCACCTGACCCCAGCATCCTTCCTAACCTCTTCCTCCCCTCACTGTCCACAGTGGCTCAGGCCTGGGCCCATCGGGGCCTTGGCTTCTTCCCACTCCTCCCCTGTGGGCCCCAGCCCTCCATCTTCCTGCCCTTGGTCCACCTCATCTCTCCTTCGCTCTCCTGGCTGCTCAGTCTGGTTTTCCAAGACCGCCCCTTCCCCACTTGGCCTTCTCCATGTGCTGCTTCCTGCAGGCAGTCCTTCCTGACTTCCCCTCTGGCTCTCCACACTCTCCAATGAGCCCCTCTGTGTTTTGGGGGGTATAGTGGATTGAACCCAGGGCCCTCACAATGAGCTCCATCCCCAGTGCTTTTTAAATTTTTTTTTTTTTGGACTGGGGATCGAACTCGGGACCTTGCACTCGAGAAGCAGGTGGCAGAACCACTGGGCTAAATCCCCGGCCCTAAATTTCTTTTGAGATGAGGTCTTGCTAAGTCATAAAGTTGCCCAGGCTGAAAGAAAACTTGCGATCCTCCTGCCTCAGCCTGCCAAGCGCTGGGATCACAAGTGGTGGGCACCACCACGCCCCTCATCCCCACCATCTGCCTCCGTTCCTGGCCATCGCCTGGCCATCCTGGTCCGGAGGGTGAGGTGAAGGCGGGGAGTGTGTCGTCATCATGGTCGCTGTCGTGCTCCCCCCGCCAATGTTAGGAGAAAATCTAGGAAACATGGTCCTCAAAGCTGGCCCTTCGCCTTCCAGAGGCGCTCGTGGTGGGACTGAGTGCCCTCCTGGGACAGCCTCCGCCTGGCATTGAGCAGCCCTGCCAGAGAGGGAAGTTGGCTGAGAGGTCAGGAAATTGCCAGATCTGCGGCCTGGGGAATTGGCTGAGTCAACAGGGTCAGAAGAGGAAGTGGGAGGGAGGGGAGGGTTGATGTGGGGACTGGTGAATTGCCCTGGCCCGGTTCCCGAATCCCATTGCCATCTGCTTTGAGTTTTTTTGAGACAGGGCCTCCCGATGTAGTGCAGGCTGGCCTGGAACTCATATGTAATCCACGCTGGACTCGAACTCATGGTGATCGTCCTGCCTCAGCCTCCTAGGTGCTGGGATCACCAGCATGCGCCACCACGCCCAGGTCATCTGCTCTTCAGACCTCAGCCAGACCCTTCCCCGTGTCTCGGGCTCACTCTGGGTGAGAACTTTCTACATTTTCCAGCAGGTGAGCAAGAAAAAAGAACAGAAAGATCGCTTAAAGTTAATTTTGGGACTATATTTGATTTAATTGAATAGATTGAAGATAGTATCTGATCTTCAAAACATAGTGAATATTTTAAAAATTCTTAGGAGTCTGGGTTCCAGCCTGACACGCAAGAGAAATAAACAAAAACGTCTTGTTTTTATATATATATATTTTCATTTTTTTTGTACTTGGTCTCTGAAATCTGGTGTTAATTTTACACTCACAGCACTTCTTGGCTGAGTGTGATGGTGCACACCTGTAATTCTAGCACTGAAGGAGGCTGAGGCAGGAGGACTGCAAGTTTGAGCCCAGCCTGGGCAACTTAGTGACTTGGCGAGATCCTGACTCAAAAAAAAAAAAAAAGAAAGAAAAAAAAGAAAGGGCTGGGTTTGTAGCTCAGGATGAAGCCCTGGGTTCAATCCCTAGTCTCTCTCTCTCTCTCTCTCTCTCACACACACACACACACACACACACACACACACACACAGAGGCACAAAGCATCTCTTCCCAGAACCTGCCTCATTCAAGAGCTCAGGAGCCTCTAATATTCAAGGCATCTACAAAATTCTAAAACTAAGAGAGGGAGCTCTGGCTTCTCGCCCTCTGAGTCTGCAGAGTGACCTTCAAGTCCTGTGAGTCACAGTCTCTAACTCACACTGTAGTGTCCCTGGGCCAAACAATGGTGATTCAGACAGTCTGAGTCTGTGGTTTGAACATTCCCGCCTTTGGAGTCTTTACTTGAGAGCAGGGAGCCAGCAAATCTGGTCCCTGGTTTGTTTTTGTAAATAAAGTTTTATTGGAACACAGTCACACCCATTCCCTCCATGAGCCCTTTCATGCTGCTGCGGCAGAGCTGAAGAGCTGGGCCAAGACCTTGAGTGACCTCTTGATGCACAAAAACAAATATATTTATCTTTTCTTTTTTTCCAGGAAAACTTTATGGTTTGAACGTTCCCACCACCTCATGATGAAATTTAATCTCACTGTGAGCTAGAGAGAAGTGGAAACAGTGTCTGACTGTGGGACTTAGAGTGGGAATTTTGGGGGAAATTAAGGTTCGGTGTGACCATCGGGGTGGGGCCCTAACCCAATGATCTGTGGCTTTCTCAGGCAAGACAGAGACCTGGGCTTGCTCTGTCCCCATGCGATATCCTGGTGGGCACCAGCAAGAAGGCCCTCGATAGATGTAGACCCCCGACTTTGAATCTCTCTGCCTCCAGAACTGTGGGCTGAATAAACCTTCATTCTTTATAAACCACTCAGTTTGAGGTATTTAGTCACAGCAACAGAAAACCCACTAAAAAGCCAGGTAGGGTGGCTCACACTTGTAATCCCAACAGTCTGGGGGGCTGAGGCAGGAAGATCACAAGTTTGAACCCAGCCTGGGCAAGTTAGCAACTTAGTGATAGGGCCAGGGATTTAGCTCAGTGGCACCACCACTACCTCACAAGGGGAAGGTCCTGAGTTTGATCCCCAGTACTGAAAAAAAACAAAACTAAACTTAGTGAAACCCTATCTCAAAATAAAAAAGAAGTGGGGATGTGGCTCAGTGCAAAGACTTGAGTTTAATCCCTTGTCCCCTCAAAAAAGGACAGAAGGTGACCCTTGCTATTCAAAGATTCTGAACTGTGGTTTCATAGATGTTTGTTTTACCATTGCTTTGTAACTTGTACATGTGTTAAGCTATTCTTTTCCATGCATCAAACATTATATATATATATTGTTCAGGAGGAAAGGGACTGTGGTTCCACATCTTAGCCACTCACCCTGCCGGGCTCTTATTCTGGGAGGTTAAACCCTAAAAAAAGCCAAAACTCAGCCTCTTTTGGGGGTAAAAGATATGTTACGTATTTTTTGCTTTTGAAAAATTGTGGTACATCCATATAATTTTTCTTCGCTACTGAGGATTAAACGGAGGGCCTTCTCACTGAGCTACATCCCCTGCCTTTTTTTTTTGGTACCGGGGATCGAACTCAGGATCTTGTGCTTTCAAGGCAGGTGGTGGAACCACTGAGCTAAATCCCCGGCCCCTCCCCTGCCTTTCTTTAATTTTATGACAGGGTCTCACTAAGTTGGCAATTTGCCCAGGCTAGGCTCAAATTCACGATCCTCCTGCCTCAGCCTCCCAGAGTCCTGGGATTACAGGTGTGTGCCGCCACACCCTGCACACATCATAACATTTATTTTAAGAGGCACTTGGTACATTTACCGTGTTGTGCAACCATTCGCTAGTTAGCTATTTAGTTCCAGAACATTTTGTCACTCCCAAAGGGAACCTTGTATTTCTAGCACTGGCTCCTCCTCCCCTACTTCCTCTGCCCCTGGGAGTCACTAATCCACTTTTTGTCTCTGTGGATTTACCAAAAAGCAATTTACTTTTGATCTACAAAAATGGTAATAAAAATGGCAATGTCATACTGTCAGCTGGACGCCCTTCTAGGATGTGCTCATTCTGAGTTTTCCTCTGGAGAAAATGGCTGGTGAGCGGGAACCCCAGGACACCCCTCGCCTGCAGGGACCTTGTCCTCGGCCACCACACACCCAGGCCCCAGGGAAGAGCCACCTGCTCCGGCACCAGGGTCAGACAGGCGGAGCCCAGGGCACCTGGGATGCAGATGTGGGGTTGAGCATGATGGTCCCCCTGGGGGCCGGGCTCCACAGAACCGCGTTACCCAGAGAGGGGACGGGAGACATCTGGGTCACAGGGTGAGGCCCAGCCTCTTGACTTAGAAATGACTTCCTCTAACTTCATGTTTTTATTCCCTAAAGGACAACAGGTGCATAAATATATCTCTCAATTCCCACAGCACAGGGAGAAACACAAGCCCGAAGAACTGCTGAGGATAGAGTTTCTGAACTTGGGGTTGCAGCCACTTCCTCCTTCTAAGGCTGCATTGTGTGTGTGAATGCATTTTAAGCACATTCTAGTCTTTGTTGCAGTTTTTTTTTTTTTCAGGCTGGCCTTGAACTCACTATGTAGCCCAGGTTGGCCTCAAACTTGGTGATCCTCCTGTCTCAGCCTCCTGAGTGCTGGGATTACAAGTGTGCATCACTATACCCACCCTACAGGTGGACAATCTAGGCCCAGCTTGGGGATAGCACTGTGAGTGCGGGTGGCTTCCCAGCACAGGCACGGCCAGTTGGTGCGCGTGGAAATCTGAACTTGGCCAAGACCTCCAGCCTTGAAGGTCAACACACACACACACACACACACACACACACACACACACACACACACACACACACACACACACACACACACACACACACACACACGCCGGCCTCCAGGAAGTAGAGGACACGGAGACAGAGACAAGGGTGGGAGGGTGGGGGACACAGGCAGCTCTCCACCCGCCTAAGCCCTCTTCAGCCCTGCTGCCACCCTGTTGTTTGGGAACATGTGAGTCACAGGAGGAACTCAGGACAAGCACACCCTGGGCTGGAAAGAGACCTCTCCAGGTTTTCCCACTCAGGAAGGTTTTCCGGGCATGGGGCGGTGGAGCCCGGGGAACGTGGCTCATTTACTGGAATCTGCCCACTGCAACTGGGCCAAGACTCCAGGTCACAGGGTCCTGCCTGCTGGCCTGGACGGTGCTCCCAAGTGACGTTGGGCCAAACTGGGGACCCACTTGGAAGACACGGTAAAGGAAGAAGGAGGAGAGGTCTTATGACCTTGGCCTCTTTCATTTGTTTTTTGAGACAGGGTCTGGCTAAGTAGTTCAGGCTGGCCTTGAACTCACTATGTACCCCAGGGTGGCCTGGAACCCATGGTGATCCCCCTGCCTCAGCCTCCCAAGTGCTGGGATGACAGGTGTGGGCCACCAAACCCAGCTCCTGCAGGGATTCTTGCAGCTGGTTGGGAATCTGTCAAAGGGCAGCAGCCTGCTCAGTGAGCAACCTCCTGCCGTGCAAGTGGCCTTCCTGAGATGTGTCCAACAGCTGACAGTCAGCTGCCACAGAGCAGGGCATGCGCACAACTGGCTGCTCTGTGACTTTTTTTTTTTTTTTTTTGCTGTGGATGGAACTGCATGCTAGGCAAGCGCTCCACCCCTGAGCCACACCCGGCCCTGTGACTCTCATAAACTGAATGTTTTCTTGTATCCAACCCTATCGTGAGATCCATTCCCATCCCTGGTGCTATGTAGAGTAGCTTTGCTTGTTTCTGTCTCTCTTTTTTTGGTACCGGGGATCGAACTCTGGTCCTTACACTTGCAAGGCAGGCAGTGGAACCACTGAGCTAAATCCCAGCCCCTGTTTTGTTTTGTTTTGAGAGACAGGGTCCTGCTATGTTGCAGGCTGGCCCTGAACTCCTGAGCTCAAGGGATCCTCCTGGCTCAGCCTCCTGAGTAGCTAAGACTACAAGTTTGCCACTGGGCCCAGTTCCTTTGCTTGTTTTTGAGCTTAGTCTGAATGGAATTGTCTGGTACTATTTTTCCCTGCCTGGGTTCCTTCCCCAATACCAGAACAAGGAATCTATCAGTATTTTTGTTTTGTTTTGTTTTGTTTTTTGGTACTGGGGATCGAACTGTGGACCTTGAACTTTCAAGGCAGATGGTGGAACCACTGAGCTACATCCCCAGCCCCGGGCCTTGTGTTTTTGAGACAGGGTCTTACTGTGTCATTGGCCTTGCACTCACTATGTAGCCCAGGCTGGTCTTGAACTCATAGTGACCCTCCTGCCTCAGCCTCCTGAGTGCTGGGATTACAGGAGTGCACCACAGCCAGCTTCTAGCTGATTCTTACAGCACCCTCCACAGCAGGTCTACTGGGACTCCCTTTACAGGAACTGGAAAAGCACAGAGAGGGAGATGACTCGCTGAAGGCCACACAGCTTTCGAGAGTCGAAGAGCTGTGTGTGTTTTACTCCAGCAGTGAAAACAGCCAGTGGCAGAGCGCCAGGCTAGAACACACAGACCATGGGCCACGGGCCGGCCTTCTCTGCTTGCTACCTGGCGGGGCGGGGCGGGCAGTGTCTCAACTTCCTCCCACTCCTTCCTGCTGCCCCCTCTCCAGCAGGAGCTCTGGGCAGTGACAGTTGCGGAGCTCAAGGGTGGACTGGGGCTTCAGGGCCGGGCAGGGCGGGGCGGGGTCTGCACCTGGGTCCTGGCCCCCTAGTGCTTGGCCCTCAGCCGGTTAGCTGAGGAAGCCGCACTGTGATTCACTGTACAGGGCGGGACTGGGACAGCTGCGACCGCCACTGAGGTTGGTGAGTCACAGAGCCCAGGCCTGCTCAGGGCCCGGTGTTGCTGCCGCCGATGCCGCTGCTGCTCAGATCTGGGGACGTGACCTTTTGGCCAGTGCAGGGTTTGTGGTTTGACAACTCAGCTTTTTTTTGGTTTTGTTTTGTTTTTGTGGTGCTGGGGATTGAACCCAGGGACGCTTTGCCACTGAGCTACACACTCAGCACTTTTTTTTTTTTTTGAGACAAAGTCTTGATATGTAGCCTAGGCTGGCCTTAAATCCAGAGACTGTCCTGCCTCAGCCTCCCCAGTAGCTGGGATTACAGGTGTGCACCATTTGTGGCTGGAAACTCAGCTACCTTCTGCTTACCTGAGTCATCTTAGGTAAGTTACTAACCTCTGTTCCTCAGCTTGCTCATTTGCAGAATGGGTTTAACAAGACAGTATCAAGATCAGGGAGCTGGTGGATCACAGTACAGTGTTTAAAGCTACGTGGGGCAATGCCTGGTAGGTGACACAGGGTGCTCCATAAACAGCAGCTTCTAAGCCGGACCTGGTGGCACTCACCTGTAATCCCAGCTACTGGGGAGCCTAAGGCAGGAGGATCACCACAGGTTCAAGGACAGCCTGGGCTACATAGTGAGTTCAAGGCCAGCTTGAATTGCAGAGCGACAGCCTGTCTCCAAAAACAAACACACACACAAAAAAACTTGCATTTCAGCTGGCTTTGAACTATGTTGCCCAGATTGGCCTCAAACTCATGGTGATCCTCCTGCCTCCACCTCCTGAGTGCTGGTATCACACCCGGCAATATTTAAGCTTCTAAGGTGCACATGGGCTGGGCTCCCTTCAGGCCACATTCCCAGGCCCACAGTTTCCTCCTGCTGTTCCTCTCCCTTCCAGGCACCTGAGGTGCGGATGGAGAACTACTCTCTCAACTACGAGGTCGAGTATGGGGACTACGGGGACCTTCCTGATGTCCCCGTGGACTGCTCAAGTGGCGCCTGCCGGGCCATGGACACCCTCCGTGTGGCCCCGCTGCTGCTGTATGCTGCCATCTTCCTGGTGGGGGTGCCTGGCAACATCATGGTGGTCTGGGTGTCCAGGAAGTGGGCTGGCCACAGGCTCGGGGCCGCCTGGCTCCTGCACCTGGCAGTGGCCGACCTGCTGTGCTGTCTGTCGATGCTGCTCCTAGCGGTGCCCCTGGCGCGCCGTGGCCACTGGCCATTCGGGGAGCTGGGCTGTCGCCTGCTGCCTGCGGCTGTGCTGCTGTCCATGTTTGCCCGTGTGCTGCTCCTGGCAGCTCTCAGCACCGACCTCTGTCTGCTGGCGCTCGGGTGGGCCGGCTGGGCCGGGGCGGCACGGGCTCGCAGGGCGTGGATGGCCCGGGGGGTGGCCTGGACAGCGGCCCTGCTGCTCACGGTGCCCTCGGCCCTGCACCGCCGCCTGCACCAGGAGCATTTCCCATCCCGGCTCGTGTGTGGCGTGGACTATGGTGGCTCAGCCACCATGGAGGGCACGGTGACCGCTGTGCAGTTCATCTGCGGCTTCCTGGGGCCGCTGGTGGTCGTGGTCGGCTGCCACAGCATCCTGCTGCGCAAAGCGGCCTCACGTCGCTGGCCGCTAGGCACGGCCGTCGTGGTGAGCTTCTTTGTGTGCTGGGCCCCCTACCACCTGCTGGGGCTGGTGCTGGCTGCAGCAGCCCCAAACTCAGTGCTCCTGGCCCGGGCCCTGCGGGCTGAGCCCTGGGTCGTGGGCCTGGCCCTTGCTCACAGCTGCCTCAACCCCTTCCTCTTCCTGTATTTTGGGCGGGCTCAACTCCGCCAGTCACTGCCCGCTGCGTGTCACTGGGCCCTGCGGGAGTCCCAGGACCAGGAGGACAGTGTGGTCAGCAGGATGTCCACCGGCCAGGAACTGATGGAAGTGTAGACAAGGAAGACCCTGGCTGGTAACCTCCTAGCCCATCTTCAGGTAGAGCTGGATCCAGGGGGTCAATGATGTCTTCATTTCATTTATTCATTCAACAAACATTCATTATGTGGTAGCTGTGTGCAAGGCCCTGGCAGAGGCACTGCTGTAGCAGTGAGCAGGACAGATACAGGGACTGACATTCTGCTGGGGGAAAATGGACAAGAAGCCAACAAAGGAGGGCAGACTGAGTCAAGGGTGATAAAGGCTACAATACCTAAAGGGGACAGAGAGGCCTGGGTAGGCCTGGCAAGACCTTCAGATAAGGCGAAAGTTGAGCCAAATCCTGAAGAAGAAAGAAAGGAGTCATGCTTATATCTGGGGCAAAGTTGTTCCAAACAGTGGGACTAGCATGTGCAAAGGCCCTGGGGCAGGCTAGGTGTAGCCCTGGCCTAGAGCTCTTGCCTAGCATGTCCCCTGAAATACTGAAGATAAACTTATATTTAACCATTGTATACTGTCTACATGAAACTTAAATTTACTGAGCATCGTTTTTTTTTTTTCTAAACTAGGCAACCCAATTTTGAGAAAAGTTATGTCGATCTGCCTTAAATTCCAATAAAATCCTTTGCTTGCTGAAGGAGATTACACTATGGTGGGGAAGGGTGAGGAGCCTAGCAAGGAGTCTACTTCAAAGTCCAAGCAGGAGCTGAGCATGACTTGGACCAGGGAAACAGAGCAGAAGAGACAGGAGGCTGATGGGAATAAAGGGCACGTCCAAGCCTCTCGGCCTGGCATTCAAGGCTCCCCTGCACCAGGCCACACACTCATGTTCTGGCTCTCATACCCCTAGCAGATAGAGCAGTGGCCCCCAATGATGTCTACATCATACTCCTTTACCTGGCCAAGGGGCTTTGCAGATGTGCCCAAGTTAGGGGTCTTGAGATGGGGCAGTGGTCCTGGGTGGTCCAGGTGGCCCAATGTGAGCACATCGGTCCTTGAAAGAGAGGGACAGGAGGTCAGGGTCAGCGGCAGAAGTGATCAGAGTGACATGAAGGGGCCACCCGCCGAGGAACACAGGTGGCCTCCAGAGGGAAGGCCGGGAGGTGGATTCTCTCCAGAAGCCTCCAAGAGAGGCCCAGCCCTGCTGTGCCTGGACTTCAGACTTGAGATCTGCGACACGTCAGGAGAACATGTTGTAGTTTTTGTTTTGGGTTTTCTTGAGACAAGGTCCTGCTATGTAGTTCAGGCAGGTTTGGAATCACTACGTGGCCCAGGATGGCCTCGAACTCACAATCATCCTCCTGCCTCAGACTCGGGAGTGCTGGGATATAGGTGCTCTCCACCATGCCTGACTCTATTAGTCATGTTTGTTACTATCACAATATATTTGACACAGGCTACCAATGAAAAAAGAGGTTTGTTTGGCTCATGGTGTAGGAGGCTGGAAGTCCAAACAGCACAGGGCAGACTCGGTGAGGCTACCATGGCAGACCCACCCCAGAAGAGACCCACCCACAGCATGACAGGAGCTCCATCATTACATGCCAGTCCAGAGAGCTGGGTGGGGCCAGGCTTGCTTTTATCACAAACAGCCAATGAGAACTAAGGACCTGACCCCAATGACCTAAAGACCGCTCACTTGGCTCCACCCATTAAAGGTCCCACAGCACCTCCTGCTAGCATAACCCCAGGGGTAAACTCCAGTTGCATGAACCCTGGGCATCAGAACACAATAAAATTATACCCAAACCATCAGAGGATAATTCTCACAACAACCCAGAGATAGGGTGCAATGCTTCCTTTTATAGGCTGAGCCCAGTGAAGGGAGCTTGTCAGTCCAAGATTACACAGCAGGAACATGGAAAGCTGGAATTTGATTTTAGTTTTACTTGGCTCCAAAGCTTATGCTCTTCGTTACCCAAATTTTCCTTCAAGACGTCACTCAAGTGACACCTCTGTCAGGGAGCCCTCCTTTGTTTCTGCCCCTCCAGGGGAGAACTGTCTTCCCTTCTCTGAGTCACAGGTTTCCAGTTAAACCAGTGTGACAACTGGATCTCCTTAACTTCCCTCTCCTCCTGCCATCCTATGAATTATTTGCCTGGATCTGTCTAGCTACCTGAAAAGCTTGAAAACCCCCACTTTAATCCATTGAGAGCCAGGCCAGCCTCCGCCCAGGGCTCCTGCCCCGGGGGGCAGATGACAGTGTGGCCCGCTGTGATGATTTGTCCCTCACCTTCAGCCCTCCCACCTTCCTGACTCCTTTCTCGAGCCCACACTGTGTCCCAGGTCACTTTGTGCACCTGCAGTTTCCTCTTCCTGGAACGCTACCCCTTCAGGTATCCGCAGGGCTCACGCTATTTTTAGCTTTCTGCTCAACACCCACCCCCGATACCGAGGATTGAACCCAGAGCTCGTGCACGGAGCTACAGCCTTATCCCTTTAAAATTTTTTAAGTTTTGAGACAGTCTTGACAGGTTGCCCAGGCTGGGGTCCAAATTGGGATCCCTCCTGCCTCAGCTTTCCCAGAGTGCTGGGATTACAGGTATGTAAGCTTGGCATATCTAGGACTACAGAGGACTCACTTTTCTCATTTATGTAGTCATTCAACAAGCACTTGCCGACATCCACTCTTCCTTAGGCTCTGTAGGGGCTGGGGAACCCCAGACCACCAATACAGAAGTGGCCCCGGCTTTGGGAGCTGGGGGATTGAGTTTGATTTGTTGATCACTGCTTTAATAATACCCGCCCTCCCTCGCTGGGTTAAAGCCCCGATGTCGTGAGATCCTGGTGGCCGTGCTTCCGGACAAGAGCGCAAGGCCGGTCAGAGGCACTGCCGAGTCCCTACCGCAACGCCTCCGCTGGCCAGCAGCGAGCGCAGCCACCTGAGGCTCCACTGTAAGCCAGGCGGGACAGGAGAGGCCCTGCACAGGCGCAAAGTGGGTCTTGGACTGCCCGCCGCTCCCCATTGGCTATTCCGTCAGCGGCGGGGCGGGGTCGGGCCATGGGATCGGCGTGCGCAGGCGCAGGGCTGGCTCGTGCGCACGAGGGGTGCTTGGGACCGGAAGTTGATTCGGCGGCGCCCGTCGGTGAGGTGAGGGGGCGGGGCGCGCGGTTCTGAGGTGGCGGCGGTGGGAGTGGGACGCGGCGCCGGGTCGTAGTAGCCTAGGAGCGGTCCCCGAGAGGGGAGACTGGGAGGAGAAACCGGGAGGGAGGAACCCGAGGTCCGGCGGGAGCCGACGGAGACGCCCACGCGGCCCTGAGAGCGCCTGGGGTCCCGTGACTCCACGTTGGAGGAAACGGAGGCGAGAAAAGCCGCTCCCGAAGCTGAGGGACCGGGAGGCGGGAGATGGAGAGCAGAGGGGAGCGGAGAGCGAGGAAGCCGCGGCGCGCGCTGTGTCCAGCATTCCGGAGGCTGAGGCAGGAGGATCCTAAGCTTGAGTCCAGCCCGGGCAGTTTAGCGATTTGGCAAGACCCGGTGTCACAATAAAGCAGACTGGGGATGTAACTCAGTGAAAAGGCCCTGGGTTCAGTCCTCAGTACCACAAAACCTAGCCAAGTGTGGTTGTGCACACAGTACACCTGTAATCTCAGCATTTGGGAGGCAGGAAGATTGCCATGAGTTTGACCGAGCCAGGACTAAATAGACTCGCAAAACAAAAATCTGAGTAATAAGTTTCCCCCCAGAATATTGCGTATACAAGGTTTTTTGGGGGGGGGGGTGCTTTTTGAGACAGGGTCTGGCTGTGTACTTCAGGCTGGCCTTAAACTCACTGTGTATCCCAGGCTGGCATCAAATTTGTGGCAATCCTCCTGCCTCACCTCCCAAGTGCTGGGATTACAGGTGTACACCACCATGCCTGGCAGTATGCTTTTTTATTATTTAGGGATCTTTCAAATGAGAATCAAGAACCCAACTTTTAAGCAAAAAGGCATTTTTTTGTGTAGCCAAGAAGTGTGACCATTAAATGATGTTACCAAGCTTCTACCACACCCATCTTCCAGAGCTGGACCACCCTTGTGTGTGTGTGCCCCATTGTGCCCTATGCAGGGTTTCTCTAGGGTGGATTTCTGGGAAAGTCTAGAACTCTCCAGAGTTACTACTACAAGGGGCATCAGGTTTATATCAAACTTGCCTAGTTAAAATAAAGCCTTTCCCTCCTAATAACCAGGTGTGAATGTCAGAGATGAGCCCCGATTGGGTCTGACTGGGTCATGTGTCCACTTCCCAGACCAGTTACTGATTAAGGGGAAAGTAGAGTACTGTGATTGCTTAGGCCTTTGTCCCTGCCCAACTAGTACAGACTCAGAGGCCTACAGGACCATGTGGAAATGAAGGAAAGAAGATGGACACTGTTAAAAAGGAGGGCCTGGGGAATATGCTAGGCAAAACATATGGAGATATAACAATAATAAAGTTTTCCATGTATTTCAAGGGCTTCCAGTGTCCTGAACTTGCAGACCCCGGGCTAAGAACCCTTTGTCTCTCTTCACTGTATCACGCCTCCTGTGTTAGCTGCCTGTTGGGGTTTATATCTAGGTGGCCCCTAGAGCTTCCTGTGCTCATAGGTGGGGCTTTTGAAAAGTGACTGGATCATGGGGGTCTGGGGGGTGCCTTGCTATTAGGAGGATGGGGCTGCTTAGCAACCGTCGCTGGGACCGTGGCCTGCAAGGCTGTGTCTCCCTGGGTCCTCCCTTTGCTGGACTTCCTTCAGGTCTCAGGTGAAGGATCCTCTCCTTGGTGTCCTTTCCTGGTTCCTAAGCCCAGGCACGCACAGTTGGGCTCCTTTAGCACAGCCTTAGCCGCTGTGGTGTATGTCTCTCTCATGTGTGGCTGCAGCTAACTGAGGGCTCAGGTAGTCTTATTACCTCCTTTTCCTGGCCCAGTGCTTGAGAAACAGATGTGTGGTAGTTAGTTCTGAGAATGAATGGATGTCTTCTGTCCTCTCCCCCAAGTGTCTAGGGCCTGAAACCCAGGATGAACTTGTGTCCCTCCTTGAGGTCGCTTCAGGAGTCCTGAATCTCACTAGCTGAGCCAGGCCCTTCCATACCTACAGTGTCCATCACCTGTGTGGTAATCGCTACCAGGAAAGGAGGAAAATCAGCTCTTTGAAGAGAAAGTGGTTCCTTATTTGTAGGGCCGCCCTGTTACTGTTGCATACGGGGATGGATGAAAAAATCGGGCCCAGGTGATCAGAACCAAGGCCCACTTCGTGACAACGTTGTGGGTCACAGCATGGCTCCTCCCAGGACCAGGGAGGGGAGGGGTCACCGAGACCACCGCTGGCCTCCCAGCGAGGAAGAGGCCTGGGAGAGATGGGACTGGGATTGTCCAGAGACACGTGGCCTCTTTGAGGACGCCTTCTTCGGCGATGAGGATTACATCCGCCAGGGCTCTGAGGAGTGCCAGAAGTTCTGGGCCTTCTTTGAACGCCTGCAGCGATTCCAGAATCTCAAGACCTCCAAGAAGGAGGAAAAAGACCCCAGACCTCCCCAACACTGCATCCCGGCCCTGGCCGACCTGCCTCGCACTTACGATCCCCGCTACCGCATCAACCTCTCTGTGCTTGGCCCCGATGCATGGAGCACCCGGAGGCTGGGCAGTCGCCTGCCCCCGGAACGCGTGTCTGAGTTCCGCCAGGCCCTGCTGCACTACCTGGACTTCAGCCAGAAGCAGGCATTTGGGCGGCTGGCCAAGCTGCAGCGGGAGCGGGCTGCCCTTCCCATCGCCCAGTACAGGAACCGAATCCTGCAGATGCTGAAGCAGCACCAGGTGGTGGTGGTGGCCGGGGACACAGGGTGTGGCAAGTCCACCCAGGTACCCCAGTACTTGCTGGCTGGCGGCTTTAGCCATGTTGCCTGCACCCAGCCCCGGCGAATTGCCTGCGTCTCACTGGCCAAGCGCGTTGGCTTCGAGAGCCTCAGTCAGTATGGATCTCAGGTGAGTGGGAGGGACCAGGTGCCAGTCGCTGCAGGGCGATGCTGGGTGCTAAGTTGGTTGTGCATGTGGCAATGTCGTTAAGCCAAGCTGCTGCCCTTTGACCTGGAGACAATCATTCTGGAGCACTAGCTACAGATTGGCTTGTATTGGTTCAGATGACAAAGGTGCTAGTACAGCACTTTACAGTTGCTTAGTACAGTACTTTAACAGCAAAAAGTAAGAAACATAAATGTTCGGCAGTTGTTTTTCTGAACAGGCCTTTAAAAAATTCATTATATTTATTTATTTGGTTTTTTGAGACATAGTCTCACCATGTAGTCCAGGTTGGCCTCGAACTCACAGTGACCCTCCGGCCTCAGCCTCCCAAGTGCTGGGATCACAGGTATGCTCCATCGTGCCCAGCCCACAAAATTCTTTTTTTTTGGTACCGGGGATTGAACTCAGGTCCTTGGACATGTGCAGCAGGCGGTGAAACCACTAAGCTGAATCCCCAGCCCAACCCTTTTTTTTTTTCCCCAGTACCAGGGATCGAACTCAGGACCTTGCACTTGCAAGGCAGGTAACAGCGCCACTGAGCTACGTCCCCAGCCCCCAACCCTTTCTTTTTTTTGGTACTGGGGATCGAACTCTGGTCCTTGCACTTGCACAGCAGGTGGCAAAACCACTGAGCTAAATCCCCAGGCTCCCCAACCCTTTCTTAATGATGACCTCTAGGGTTCCAGTTCTGGTTCTACCACTTACAAATGTTGTGTTGTGGGGTTTTTTGTTGTTTTTTTTTTTTGGTATGAGGATCGAACTCAGGACCTTGCACTTGTGAGGCAGGTGTGCTGCCACTGAGCTAAATGCCCCGCCCTGCCACAGATTATTTTTGAGGCAGGGTCTGGCTATGTAACCCAGGCTGGCCTCGAACTTGTGGCTGTCCTCCTGCCTCGGCCTCTTGGCTGCTGGGATTACAGGCATGTGCCACCATCCCTGGATGAAATTTTGCCTATTTTAAGGTCATAAGGAAGTTCTCCAGTACTTTTGCAAGAACTTTTCCATTTAGAACTACAGTTCATCTAAAATTGATTTGTGAGTGTGTGATGTGAAGGAGGGGTTACGATACCTTTCCTCTGAATATCTTTTTTTAGCCATGTTATCTTGGATGATAATCAGTTTTCCCCTCCCTGAAATCAGGATGATAATTCTTACGGCAGTGGCAGTTGTGAGGATGAAACGAGTGTAAAGCACATAGGGTAGCTTCTGTTGCTCAGTAAACACCAAAAGGAAGACATGGAATTATTACTGTTACGATTAATGCTGTTATACACCAGGTAGCACTGTGTCACATGTAATTCTCGCTGTTTGCCCAGGGCCAGTGGCGTTAAGTGGCAGTGCTGGGATTCAGACCGAAGCCCACTGGGCTCCAGAGTGACAGGTTGGGCTGCCATGGGCTTGGATTTCTATGTCAGGCTGGGTGGGGTCCAGTGGCCTGGCCCAGGGTCCCCTCCTGACCCTGGCACCTTCCTCCCACCCCAGGTCGGCTACCAGATCCGCTTTGAAAGCACGCGCTCGGTGGCCACCAAGATCGTGTTCCTGACGGTGGGGCTGCTCCTGCGGCAGATCCAGCACGAGCCCAGCCTGCCCCAGTACAACGTCCTGATCGTGGATGAGGTCCACGAGCGGCAGCTGCACAGCGACTTCCTCCTGGGCGTCCTGCGGCGCCTGCTGCCCACGAGGCCTGACCTTAAGGTCGTCCTCATGTCGGCCACCATCAACATCGAGCTCTTCTCCAGCTACTTCGGCAATGCGCCCGTGGTGCAGGTGCCCGGGCGGCTCTTCCCCATCACGGTCAGTGTCCCCAGCCTGCCGCCTGGTCCCCGCCACCCAGGAGGTCGCCCCTCTGCCACTGCCTCCTGGCTCCTCCTTTTCAGGGCTGCTGTTTGAAAAGCTTTTGACCACGTGCATTAGCGCACAGAATGCTAAGTGCTTATTAGAGTGAAAGCTCTGTAAGAACTGCTAACTGCTGTAACAGAGACCTCCAAACACAAAGGCCCACAAAAGGTAGACATTTCTCTTTTTAAAAAATCTGATGACCAGATGAGACAGTGCATACCTGTAAATCCCAGCACTCAGGAGGCTGAGGCAGGAGGATTGCTGTGAGTTCAAGGCCAATCTGGGCTACATAGTGAGACCCTGTCTCAAAAAAGACAAGAAAACAGGACCGGGGATTTACCTCAGTGTTTCCGCCTTGAAAGTGCAAGGTCCCAAGTTTGATCCTCAGAACCAAAAAAAAAAAAAAAGACAAGAAAACAAAAACAGAACCTGCCATGCCAGGCTGGTAGGCAGCTCTGTTCTGTGGTCTTCCAGGGACACCGGCTCCTCCATTTCTCTCCTACCTCCCCAGGCAGGGTTTCTCAGTGGGCCGTATTGACATTCGGGCTGTCCTGGTGTTTGGATGTTTAGCAGCACCCCCGGGCTGTAATTTTAAATGCCAGCTGCGTTCTCCTCCCCAGTTGTGACAGCCAAGAGTGTCTCCAGACACCGTCACATCTCCTCTGGTAGCAAAACCACCCCACTGAGGACCACTATCCTAGGGAGCTGTCCTTGTCTGCATAGTCACAGCTTGCAGGAAGGGCTTCACTGTCACTTGTGGCTTCCAGTTTGGAATGTCCATGAATCAATCATAGAAGCACCCGTGAAAAAGGAATGAGACACTTCCCAAGGAATGATCTTCAGGGCTTTAATCAGGGTTCTACTACTTAGAAATTCTTTTTTCTGGTTGCAGTGATCCTACTTTAAATTTGAGAGAATGCACATATCATAAGTGTTTAGCTCAATGAATTTTCATAGCTTAAGTACGTCTTTGTAGCTGGCACCCAGATTTTTAGAAATCAGCCATTGCCAGTGCTCCAGAAGCCTTGCTGCTTTGTCCCTTCATCTCCTCCTCCTGCATCCTGCACTTGGAGAGTGCCTTCTGCCACCCTTGTGTCTTCCCCTGCCAGCCAAGGTCCCCACACTGTTGCTCTGTGCTGAGTGATGGCTGTGCCCTGCCCGGGGCTGTCTCGTCTCAGGTCATTTACCAGCCACAGGAGGCCGAGCAGACAGCCTCCAAGACTGAGAAGTTGGACCCGCGGCCCTTCCTGAGGGTGCTGGAGGCCATTGACAGTAAATACCCGCCTGAGGAGCGTGGGGACCTCCTGGTCTTCCTCAGCGGCATGGCAGAGATCAGTGCCGTGCTGGAGGCCGCCCAGACCTATGCCATCCACACGCAGCGCTGGGTGGTGCTCCCACTGCACAGCACGCTCTCCGTGGCCGACCAGGACAAGGTATCCCGAGAAAGGCAGGCCAGGCAGCTAGGGAGGTGGGGGTCAAGGGCAGCTCTGTGTCGGACCAGGGTGATTCACAGGTGCAGAGTTGCAGTGTGGTGCCTTGGCTTTGTCCCAGGAGCACTGGGAGCCATGGGAGGGGGCCACATTTGCCCAGTGTGCTCGAGCAGGCCTCCACCTGCCTGCTGGGTGGGAGATGCATCTGAGGATTTGAGGACAGAGGGTGGAGGGGGAGCTGGTGCAGGGTCAGAGTGGGAAAGGTGAGGCCTGGGCCCAGGAGGCGCTGGGGCTTGGGGAGAGGGAGGCATCAAGAAAGGTTGAAGAGGGGCCAGGGATTTAGCTCAGTGGGTCTGGTGCCTGCCTCGCAAGTGTAAGGTCCTGAGTTTGATCCCTGGTACCAAAAAAAAAAAAAAGGTTGAAGATGTTCCGGGGGCTGCAGGGGAGGCTGGGCTAGGACAGCCCAGGGGAGGTGGATGTCAGCTGTGTGGAGTGGGGCTTGGGAGGGGAAGGCCCAGCAGAGGATGCCAAGGCCACAGGGGAGCAGAGGTGGGAGGGGCCCAAGGGACACTTGAGGGCCACTGGACAAGGCAGCCAGGTCTGTCAGTCCCTGTGCCTCCTCCCTCCCCAGGTGTTCGATGTGGCCCCTCCTGGAGTCCGGAAATGCATCCTCTCCACCAACATCGCAGAGACTTCGGTCACCATCGACGGGATCCGCTTTGTCTTGGACTCCGGTAAGGACTGCCCCTTTGTGAGCAGAGTGAGCACTGGATGTTGGCAGCTCCTTACTGCATTCACGCTAGGGCGGTGGTGACAGCACAACATCCCAGAGGCTCCCATTCCATGATGAAGTGTTTAAGGGTTAGGATTAGGGTTTAAGTGATTAAGGTGCCATGAGTTAAGCCCTGACTCATTCTCAGTTTTAAGATGCATCCCATTTTTACAGATGCTAAAACTTGAGAACAGTTGGTCTTACAGTGAGTAAAACACGCTGTCCTGTTCCATCCTGTCCTTTGATCCTGACCATGCCCCTGCCCGTTGCCCTGCCACATGTGGCGGATCTTGGCCCAGTGTGTCAGGTGACCGAGCTTCCCAGGTAGTAGACTTGAGAAAATGAGTGAAAGGGAGCTTCCTATGAAAACTGCTCGCCTCCTGGCCAGGAAGCAGAAGAGGGAGAAGTGAGGGTGGGGTCCCAGTGTCCCCTCCACCCTGTCCCACAGGGAAGGTGAAGGAGATGAGCTACGACCCACAGGCCAAGCTGCAGCGGCTGCAAGAGTTCTGGATTAGCCAGGCCAGCGCTGAGCAACGCAAGGGCCGGGCAGGCCGCACAGGCCCTGGTGTCTGCTACCGCCTCTACGCCGAGTCTGACTATGACGCCTTCGCCCCCTACCCAGTCCCTGAAATCCGGAGGGTGGCCCTGGATGCACTGGTGCTGCAGGTGAGTCCAGGGCGGGAGGGTCTGCATCCTGACCGCTGGTGCCAGGGAAGAGTGGCGGTGTGCGGATGGGTCAGAACTGCAGTGCAGTGCAGGGCAGGAGCATTATGACGGGCCAGCCACAGAGATGATGTCATCTCTTCTGGAGGTCGAAACCTGGCTGAGGGGAGATTAATCATGGCATGAGCTGTGACTGAGAATGCTTGCAGCTGTAACCAGAAACCCAACAGGAAGTGGCTTTGGCTTTTGTTTGGTTTTGCTCTTGGATGCTGGGTACAACGTAGGACCCACGCAGGATGGGTAAGGGCTCCAGTACCATCTGCAGCCCCAGCCCAGGCTGTGGACGATTGCGATTCTGGCTGTCTACTGTGTGGGTTCTCTGACCCCTTGGGACTTGAGCTGCCAGTGAAAATGACCTGGCTTGTGGGGTGCAGGGAATCTGCTCTTCCTCATACGGAAAGCCCGAGGCCCCAGATTCGGTTTTGAGAGTGGGTGAGGTACCATGGGTGGGGGCTCTCCAGCCTCACTCTATGAGCAGCTCTTAGGATGATGTTAAAAAGAAATGACCTGGAGCTCACTGGGGCCCAGCACTTTTCTATGTGTTTTATGTATATAAAACTTGTGCTCCACTCAAAACTATAGCCGTCTGTGGTGGGGCACACCTGTAATCCCAGCACTCGTGAGGCTGAGGCAGGAGAATTGCCAAGAGTTCAAGGCCAGCCTGGGCTACCTAGTGAGACCTTATCTCAAAAAACAAATAGCCAAAAAAAAAACCCCCCAAAAAACCAGCAACAACAAACTTGATAAGTAGATAACCTTATCTTACTATATGGGTGATTCTCCCCAAATCACACAGTCAGGAACGGTGGGTGAATGCCAGGTGGCTCTGGCAGCCATGGCCATCACTTCCTCCCCTTCACCTCCAGAAGTGGAAGCAGAAGCAGGGAGCAGCCCTTCTTCATAGGTCTAAACGTTAGGGCTCTGAGAACCTCAGCCTGGAGGCCCTGGCCCCTCTCCTCAGCAGAACTGGGCCCTGTGTCCACCCAGTGTGACCAGTGCTATCCGGAGACGTTTCCCGACGGGCCTGGCTCACGTGCTTATTGCACAGTCACTGCGCCTGGGCCCACGTAGATCTGTCCCCCAGTCCACAGCGAAGGTGGCTGGGGCAGGTATGGGGCACAGAGACCGCCACGGCCCCCTCCCCACCTCCTCTCGGTGGACCTGGCAGAGAAGCTTCCCAGCCTGCCTGCCCCTTGCCCGAAGTGGCTCACGTGTTCCCAATCCCAGGGGCTCTGCTTCTGGCTTGCAGATGAAGAGCATGAGTGTGGGGGACCCACGTACCTTCCCCTTCATCGAGCCGCCGCCCCCTGCCAGCCTGGAGACCGCCATCCTGTACCTCCGGGACCAGGGCGCGCTGGACGCCTCTGAGGCCCTCACGCCTATCGGCTGTCTGCTGGCCCAGCTGCCCGTGGACGTGGTGATCGGTGAGGACGCACCCTGGGTCCTCACACCCCGCCCTGTCCATGTGACCCCTGCGGAAGCCCACGCCTTTGCTGGGGTCCCTCTCGGCCACTCATGTGGCTCCTGCTCCACTCTTGCTTTGTCCTCCCCTCACTGGGGCAGGTCTAAAGAGTGTCGGAACTGGGCATGGTGACATGCACCTGTAGTCTTAGCACTCTAGGAGGCTGAGACAGGAGGATTTCAAGTTTGAACTCAGTCTGGTCAATTTAGTGTCTCAGCAAGACCATGTCTGAAAATTTAAACAAAGGCCTGAAAACATAGCTCAGGGGTGAGGTCCTTGGTTCAATCTGCAGCTCTGAAAACAGAAGAAAAAAAAGTGTTGGGAGGAAAATCAAGTCCAGGAGGGGCCGGGATACCTGGGCGTCTGTCAGCTGTGGATGAAGCAGAGCTGACAGTCATGGCTGGCAGCCAGCAGAGCCCCATGGGCCTGGAGGCAGGGCTGGGGTCCCTTCCTGCTGACAGATGGGGAGACCTGGTTCTTGCCCAGAAGGCCTGGCGTGTGGCTTTGAACCTGCTCACCCGGCTCCCAGGCCTCTGCAGGTGAGGTAGGCTGGGGTGAGAGGGCTGGGCCGGAGGTTGAGGCAGTGCCACCCACAGGGAAGATGCTGATCCTGGGTTCCACGTTCAGCCTGGTGGAGCCAGTGCTCACCATTGCCGCTGCTCTCAGTGTGCAGTCGCCTTTCACGCGCAGTGCCCAGAGCAGCCTGGAGTGCGCGGCAGCACGCCGGCCCCTGGAGAGTGACCAGGGCGACCCCTTCACGCTCTTCAATGTCTTCAATGCCTGGGTGCAGGTGAGGCTGGAGCTGGGGCCCCTCCACCTGTCTGCCTGGCTGGGTGCCATCCCCCCACCTCAGCGACCCCTGCTGCTGTGGCTGTTCCTTGTGCCCCAGGGAGGACCTCGAGCCCTCCTGGTGGGGCTGTCTGGAGAGGCCTGGTCCCCACTGTTCATGCCACTGTCCGAGGGACGGAATACACCCGGGCCCAGGGTTGGGAGGGACCCAGGTCTTTAAAGAGTGATGAGCAGCCCAGCCACCTCCCCAGAGTGCTGGGCACTACCGTCCCTGCCCATCCAGGTGCTCCATTCAGTGCAGAGACAGCCTTGTCCCCACTCAGTGGCAGTGCAGGGCCCCGAGGCCGGCCTCCAGCCTGCCCTCCCTTGTGGAGTCGGTGCTGGTGGGGTGCCCTGGCCATGGTGGCCGCAGTCCCCACAGTGCCCAGTTGGCCAGGCCCTCACTTCCCGCTGCCCTCCCCCAGGTGAAGGCTGAGCACAGCAGGATCTCTCGCAAGTGGTGCCGCCGCCGGGGCGTGGAGGAGCATCGGCTGTATGAGATGGCCAACCTGCGACGCCAGTTCAAGGTGACCTGGGGCCTGCGCTGCCACCCTCAGCACAGCCCAGTGCCCTGGGCGTCAGGGAGGCTGGTGGGGCTTCCCCTCTGAGGGTTGGGAGCCTGAGCAGCACCTGTGTGTTCTCTTCCGGGTGGGGACAGGTTTCTGTCACAGGTGGCTCCTCCCAAACCCACAGGATTAGTTAATACGCCAGGGTGACTCTGTTTCGTAATGGAGAAAACCCTGCTGCCGAGCAGCTGGGGCCGTGGTGTGAACCAATTGCCTGTGATTGCAGCAGAGGCTTAGAGGGGGAAACCTGACCAAACCCCGCCACCTCGCAGTTTCTGGCACATCCGGGTTGGGGACTGCAGATGTCCTGACCACGCTGTCTCTCGATGTCCATAGCTAGAGCAGCGCTTCAATCTGGGGTGGGCCCTAGGCACTTTGAGAATCCAGGGGAAAGTGTGTTCCCTTTCACACACTCCACACACGTGCTAGCACACATGCACACACTAGCACACGCACACATGCACCCAGTGTTCCACGTCCACCGTTGGGTGGGCTCATGGGGAAGTCGCCTGGCAGACTGCATCACTCAAGGGCTGTGACGGGTGAGGTGGGGAGGAAGGGAGGAGGGACACGGGTCTCCTGTGCCTCTGTCACTCCAGGGTCTGTGTGACGGAAGAGTCCCAGCCCACCCCGCCCTGAGATTCTGACTCAGAGCCCTGGGTGGGGCCCAGCAGGGGCTCCCTGGGCTGAGGGGCGGTAGGGACTGTGACCAGAGCCTGAGACAACTGTAGGAAGAGGACACTGGGGAGCAGCCGCCCTGCCCTCTCCTGTGTCCCTCGGGTGCTCCCAGGCCGGCGCCAACCCCAGCACTCTTCCTGGGACTGCTTCGTGCCTGGTGTGCGGGGCAGTCCTTGGACTGTCCCCTCTGCCCCAAGCCCTGCAAGGTGGCCCTGGGAGGGGACCCGCTCACCCCACCCTGCCGGTCCCCTCTTGTCCTCAGGAGCTGCTGGAGGACCACGGGCTGCAGGCTGGGGCCCAGGTGGTCAGGCCGCGGGACAGCTACAGTCGGCTGCAGCAGCGCCGGGAGCGCCGGGTCCTGCACCAGCTGAAGCGGCAGCATGAGGAGGGCAAGGGCCGCCGGCGCAAGGTGCTGCGGCTGCAGGAGGAGGCTGACGACGGCTCCAGTGACGAGGACCGTGCTGGCCCTGCTGCCCAGGGTGCCAGTGACAGCGTGGACATCCAGGTGGGCTTGGAGGACTGGTGGAGTCTGCCGGAGAAGGGCCACAGTCCTGACTCCGAGGGTCAGACACGGCCTGTCCCGGGCTCCGAGAGTCCCTGGCATTGCCTCCAGGAGCGGGGCGGGGTTCTAGGGGCCAGCACTGGGCCAGCAGTCTGCAGGTGGCTGGGCCCATCTGCCCTGCAGCTCCCCAGGAACCCCCTCTGCCGTGTCCCCCCAGGACGTGAAGTTTAAGCTCCGGCACAACCTGGAGCAGCTGCAGGCAGCCGCCAGCTCAGCCCAGGAGCTGAGCCGGGAGCAGCTGGCCCTGCTCAAGCTGGTGCTGGCCCGAGGCCTTTACCCACAGCTGGCCGTGCCCGACCCGCTCAACAGTGGCCGCAAGGACTCGGACCAGGTGCGCCTCCCTGGTCCTCTTGGGGCTCGTCCTTCAGCTCTGTGCCAGGAGAGTGACGGAGACCATGCCGGCCCTGCCCTTGTGGGGCTTCTGGGCTGTGGGGAGGAGGACCTGTCCCCAGACAGCCCGAGTGGACAGGGTTTCCCAGGGAGCTCCAAGGGCCCAGGCAACCAGGCCTAGGGGGGTGGAAGGTGGGAGTCACGGCTTCCTGGAGGAGGGTGCCGGGACAGGGAGGAGGAGATGCGGCTCTGGGTGCCCCTGACCCCAGTGCCCGCCTTGGGCTCTGCAGATTTTCCACACCCAGGCCAAGCAGGGCGCAGTGCTGCACCCTACCTGCATCTTCACTGGCAGCCCCGAGGTGCTGCACACGTGGGAGCCGGAGGCCACGGGCGGCGGAGGGAGCCGAGGTGCAGTAGCCCAGCCAGGACACAGGGCTGAGGGACAGCGACACAGCAGCCCGGGGCCCCCACCCACATCCCCACACCCCCCACTCCCTGAGGTGGCCCGGTCGTGGCAGCAGCGCCCTGTGGCCCGAGCAGCTCCCCCCGGGCACTGTCTTCCACCTCACATGGGAGCGGCCGTGCGTTGGACTAACCTGAGAAGAGAAGGCACTGATGACGCTGTCGAGGGAGCTGGAAGCATTTCTCTGAAACCTCTGACCACCGTGAAGCCCTCTCCATTTACCTCTTCCTGTTTTTCAATCTTGAAAATCTCCAGATGTCATTGAGGCAGCATGCTATAAGCCCTGTGCCCGCACTCCTTCCAGGATGGCCAATGTTTTACTGTCTTTCTTCTGTCGCTTTATTCTTTTTCCTTCCTTCTAGAGTCTTATTTCTGTTTTTTTTTTTCTTTTCTCTCATTCCTTTTTTTTTTCTGGAACTTTTGGTGGGGGGGTGTGTGTTGGGACAAGGTCTCACTATGTAGTCCAGGCTGCCTCAGACTCACAGCAATCCTCCTGCCTCAGCCTCCCGAGGGAGTGCTGCAATTACAGAATGCACCACCAGGCCCAGCTGGAGCATTTAAAGCAGATCCCAGACATCCTGTCATCTAAGAATAGCAGTGCCAGGGCTGTTATTTGGATTGCCATAGTGCTGCAGTCCTGTGAAGTGACAGTGGCCCCATTGGACCCCAGCAGTCCCGTTTGTACCTTCACGGCAAAGGGCCTGGGTGGCACCGTCTCCCCTGTGGCATTGTTTATCCGATGATGTAGCCAAGTGGCAGGGGCACTGGAGTGCACAGGTGCATGTGGCAGAGCTGGGCCTGAGCTGTCCTCAACCTTGCAGGTGACAAGGACAAGATGAGCAGCAAGCACCAGCTCCTCACCTTCGTCTCCCTGCTGGAGACCAACAAGCTGTACCTGGTAAACTGTGTCCGCATCCCAGCCCTCCAGGTGGGTCTCTGAGGACTCCATGTGGGCTGCAGGCCGCAAGGATGACTGGGCAGAGACGGGCGAAGGGCTGGGGGTGCAGGAGGCGGGGTGTGGGCAAGAAAGCGCAGCACGGGGTCCTGAAGGGACAGCTCCACACTGGTCTCTTCTGGAAGTGCACCAGAGGGACAGCACATGCAAAGGGCCTAGGGCTGCCCTTGGTTGGTGAACCCTGGGAGCTGTGGGGCAGGGCCCGCAAGGGAGGCGGGGAGCAGTGAGAGGTAGAGAGGCAGGTGAAGCCGGAGGAGGGAGCAGGGCCAGGCAGGCCTGGGCACCTTACCGAGGGGGGTGGTGGCTGGGCCAAGGTGGGTGTCCACAGATTCCCACACTGACAGATGTGCACGGAAGAGGGCAGAGTAGTCCACTGACCCTCCTGGACTCCGGACCACGCCCCAGTCCTGCGCCCTCCATAGCATCCCCCAGCCCCTCCCCCAGCTGAGTCCCCCTGCCTCCCTTCCCAGGGGCCAGGGCTCTCCCTGTGTGTGCTTCGTGCCTGGATGTCATCCAGCCCCTGTGTGAACATGCAGCTCCACCTCTCCCTGCACCCCTCCCGCCCCACTGTGCCTGTCCCTCATATGGCTGCTTTTCAGGATCTGCTCTACATTTTTGTTGTTGTTTATGGTACTGGGGATTGCACTCAGGGCCTTTGGACTGAGCTACATCACCAGCCATATTTATGTTTTATTTTGAGACAGGGTCTTGCTAAGTTGGGTGGGCTTGAACTTGTGATCCTCCTGCCTCAGCCTCCCAGAGTGCTGGGATACAAGTGTGGACCACCACACTTGCTGTTTTTTATTCTTTTTTTACTTCTGGGGATCGAACTCAGAACCTTGCGCTTGCAAGGCAGGCAGCAGAACCGCTAAGCTAAATCCGAGGCCCTGTCTTTCATTCTTGAGTCTTGTCTTTCTCTCTGAGTCCAGTGGGGCTGGGACATGGTCTAGTTCTCCGCCAGGCAGAGTAGGCGTGGAGATGTGTGTGTGTAGGACTCAATGGCTCACATGGGGTGGACAGGCGGGAACCTCGGACTGATGGCCGGGCAGGGCCTCTGCATCCGACCTCAGCTCAGCCTGTCCCCTGCCCTGTCCCCTCCAGTCCCTGCTGCTGTTCAGCCGGTCCCTGGACACCAATGGTGACTGCTCCCGCCTGGTGGCCGACGGCTGGCTGGAGCTGCAGCTGGTGGACAGCGAGGGCGCTGTCCGGCTTCTGGCAGCTGCCCTACGCCTCCGTGCCCGCTGGGAGAGCGCTCTGGACCAGCAGCTGTCACACCAGGCCTGGCAGCGGCAGCGGCTTGAGGAAGAGGATGAGGCTGCACTCATCAGCCACACAGAGGTGGCCGCCCTGAGCAGGGAGCTACTGCAGTTCGTGGCCACCAAGGTAGCAGGTGGCACCCTGGTGTTCTGGACGTGGGTACAGAGAGGCTGAGTGCCTGAGCTGGGGCCACACAGCTGGTTAGGGAGGAGCCTGGCCCCGGAGCCCCAGGAGAAGCCACTGCCCTGTGCCATGCCTGTGCACTGATTCTCGGCCAGATGCTTACTAAGCACCTTCTGCATGCGCGGGCGCAGGGCCCCAGCTTGGAGAGGAGGCCGCCGTGTGCATGCATAGGGACGGCTGCAGGCTCGGCTGGGTCCGGGTGCCTGGTGTCAGCTCCGAGTCTCTCTCTGGTCTCTCCCTTAGGTTCCCTACAGCCTCCGGCGGCTCACAGGGCTGGAAGCCCAGAACCTCTACGTGGGACCCCAGACCATCCTGGCCACCCCCAGTCTCCCTGGCCTCTTCGGCAGCTCTACTCTGTCCCCACACCCCACCAAGGGTGGCTACAGCGTCACCAGCTTCCTCACCTATAACTGCCTCTCAGTGAGCATGGACCTCCTGGCCCCTCAGCCCCTGCCCTGAGATGGGGTATTGGGACCCCCCACTCAGACCCGGAAGCCGTGGGGACTGAGCTGTCACGCCCTCCACAGAGTGACACGGACCTGTACAGCGACTGCCTGCGCACCTTCTGGACCTGCCCGCACTGCGGCCTGCACCTGCCGCTCACACCGCTGGAGCGCATGGCGCACGAGAGTGTCTGCACCACGGGCCCCGACGGCGCCCCAGGCAAGGGGGCGGCTCCTCCAGGTCCCCCACCCCACTTCCTGCCTCTCTTGCCTCTGGTCTCCTGGTCCCTACCCGTGTCTGTCTCTTTGGTGTCTCCATGGCCGAGTGCCTTTCTCCTTTCTCTGTCCCTCAGCTGTGTCTGCCTCGGTCACATCCCCTCATTGCCACCAAGGGGTGCTGCAGTGTCTGCCGCTGTGTCCCCTACACCGCAGGGAGACTGGGAGGCCCACGACTGCCGTCTCTGTCTCCCTGGTGGTGGCAGGGTACAGTGCAGCCTGTGCGTGGTTAGCGGGGAAGGCTTCCTGGAGGGCGCGAAGCTGGGCTCCCTGAGGTGTGGAGAGACGGAGCCCGGCAGGCGCCCCTCAGAGCCTCCCCTCCCGCAGGCGCTGAGGAAGCTGCCCCTGAGCACCCCCAGAAGCCATCGGCCCTGCAGAGGCCCTACCACTGCGACACCTGCCAGAAGGACTTCCTGTTCACACCCACCGAGGCTCTGCGCCACCGCAGGCAGCACGTGTGAGCCGCCACCACCACCTGTTCCCTGCGACCCCTGCACCGGCCAGGCTCAGAGCAGTGCTGGTCCCGTCTGAGGGAGGTTGTAGCTCGCTCAGGGAATAAAGCTCACACTGGCACCGCCTCATCTTCCCGCCTGCCCGTCCACCTGGAAGAGCCCCTGCCTGAGGGTGTCCATCCCCAGTGTCTCCTGCCGCCAGGGCTGTTGGGGAGGAGACCGGCCTGGTGCTGGGCCTGAGCCTCTAATCTGCTGTGTCCTCCATGTCCTTAGACACAAGCGCCTAGGCGGGGGGCAGCCACCCAGCCTTGCGGCCATTGTTAATTTTCTTTGGTGATTTGAGATGGGGCTTCGCTTTGTTGCCCAGTCTGGCCTTGCACTCCTGGGCACAAGTGATCCTCCTGCCTCAGCCGCCTCAGTCACAGAGTGCAGGTGCATGTCTGTGCCTAGGGTTTAAGATCAAAGTTGTATGCCAGGCGGGTGGTACAGCCCGAGGCGTGGCTCCCAGCCCCTCGCTGGGACTCACACAGGGGACACAGCCTCACCCCCGCCCTCCCCTCTCCCTCAGGGCGCTCCTGTCAGGCCAGGTGACCTCCCTTGCCCTGCGGTCTTCGTCTCAGCAGTGTCCCTTGGCTGACCCCTCCTCCCAATGCAAGTGCCAAAGAGCGCTTCAGTTTAGGGTGGGTTTTTTTGGTACCAGGGATCAAACTCAGGACCTTGTGTTTGCCAGGCAGGCGCAGTGCCACTGAGCTAAACCCCAGCCCAGTTTTTTTTTTTTTTTTTTCAGTACTGGGGAGTGAACCTAGTGCCTTTGCCCTGAGCCACATCTCTAATCCTTTTTAGTTTTTGAGACAGGGTCTCACTAAATCACTGCATTCCCCAGGCTGGGGTCAAACTTGGGATCCTCTTGCCTCAGCCTCCCAGATGCTAGGATCATACCTGTGTGCCCCATGCCCGGCTGCCAAGGAGCACTTTGAGGAAACAGCCTGTTTGCCATTTCCCTGCTGCCACTGCATCCGGGTCAGTGCACTGACTGTCTGCAAGGCGCCGTGCACCGACTTTAGTGACACCCACCTCGGAAGGTCCCCAGGGTTCTTTCCTGCGCACCTTCCTGAGGTGCACTGGATCCGGCTGCTCTTTCCCACTGTCCTGGCCTGGCTCGAGCTCCCCGGCTTCTGACTCTTCCCTCCACATGGTTCCCACGACTGCTGGGACAGAACCCCAGGAAGCGAGACCTCGCCTCATGGTTCCGGAGGCTGAAAGTCCAGGATCAAGGCGTCTGCAAGGGCCATACTCCCTCGGGGCCTGCTCGCCTCCTCCCTGCCTCTCCGGGCATCTTGGCTGTCCTTGGTTTGCAAACCAGGCCCTGCTGCAGCCCTCTCTCCGGGTGTCCACAGTCCCCTGAGGAGAGGACATGCTGGACAAGGATAGGCCCACTGCACCGTAACTCAGGAACCTGCAGCCCCGTCTCCAAGTCAGCCCCCCGAGGGTGTGGGGACACAACCTGCAGTGTCCCCTCTGGTCCACCCGGGATAAAGCACACATCCGACTGTCCCTCTGCTCGCATTCTCCTGAGCCAGTGAGGTATTCCGCACGGAAAGAAGCAAAGTGTGTGCTCCGCCTAACGTGACAGCCCTGGAGGGCGGGATGGGAAGTGCCAGAAGCAGACATGCGTGTCCATTGATGCGAGATGTCCAGCTGGGCGTGCTGGCTTGGGCCTGTGGTCGGCGCTCCAGGAGGCTGAGGCGGGAGGATCGCAAGCTTGAAGCCAGCCTGGCTAGTGGCAAAATTCTGTCTCAAAAAATGGGCTGGGGGTGTAGCTCAGTGTGAAGGTGCTGGGTTGAGTCCCCAGTACTGAATAAAAAGAAGGAGGGGGAAAGGGAGAGAGGAAGGAACGAAGAAGGAAAGAGGAAAAAGGAACTCCCAGGACAGGTGAACCATCCACAGAGTGGATTCAAGGGCCGAGGGCAGCGCTGCTCCAGGGTTTCTTTGCAGGTGTTAACGTGTTGTGGTGATGTGCAGCTTGATTGTAGACTTCAAAACGGGTGAATTTGGGGGTAAACAAGTTACATCTCATTAGAGCTGTTACCAAAGGGGAGAAGACATCTGCGGCTCCCCTGCCACCCCCTGGAGGGGACCAGGGCCATTGCTGCCCCCTTCCTGCTTCTTTCTGTCCCGGTCCCCTCAGCGTAGCAAACCTGCCCCCGGGATAGACTCAGCCCAGCGTCCCAGGCAGACACAGCCGTGTGTGTCCAAGTTGGCCATGAGGTGGCGCACAGGAGACATCAAAAGCTCCGTTCCCTAGAAAGTGGGTGAGGTATTTTTAGTGACATCTGCCACTTTCCATCTCCTGGTGGTGCCTCCAAATGGGTGCAGCTAAAAGGGATTAAGTGTTTCCAGTGGCAGGGAGAAGTGCACAGGGTCCCGCCTTGAACTTGTGGCAGTCCTCCTGCCTCAGCCTCCCAAAAGCTGGGATCACAGGCATGTGCCACCACACCCGACCAAATCCTACACCACTTTCTACATGCACCCGTGGAGTCTGGTCCTCACGGGAGACACGGAACCAGTCTCCAAACACGGGGCCAGTGACTCATGTGGCCCAATGGGAACAGCATCTCCCCGAGGGCAGGGGTCCCTGCTGTCACAGGGTGGAGACACGTGGGAGGTCAGCATCCGTGAGTGAAGGAGCAGAGGGTCACCTGTAATCCCAGGGACTGGAGGCTGAGGTAGGAGGGTCACAAGTTCCAGGCCCGGCCTGGGCAACTGAACGAGGTCCTGTCTCAAAGATAAAATATAAAATAGGGCTGGGGGCCTCGGGGAAGGAGGAGGAGAACAAGTATGCCAGCTCTGGGGCTCAGGGCCATAACAGCCAGAAGTGACCAAGGGCATCCAGGGCAGAAAGTGGGGACAGAAAGGGTGACAGTGGGCCGGGGATGTAGCTCAGTGGTTCCACCGCCTGCCTCACAAGTGTAAGGTCCCAATTTTGATCACTGGTACCAAGAAAAGAACAGGTGGGCCAGGGATTTAGCTCAGTGGTTCTGCCACCTGCCTCACAAGCAGAAGGACCTGAGTTCGATCCCCGGTACAAAAAAAGAACAGGTGACAGGACAAGCACAACAGGGCTGCAAGTGTGCAGTTGCGGGGCTCCTGCCTCTGGTGACCTGGGGGTGGGGCGGCAGCCCGGACCAAGGTGGAGGGGAGGACCCAAGCCGGCATCTCCCTGCAGCAAGTGTCCAGGTCCTCGCAGATGAGGCCCTGCTCGGGGCTTTGTGGTGTCTCGGGCCAGCAGCTGTGAGATGAGCTGCAGCCACCAATGCCAGCCCCGCACCTGGCATGGCAGAGAGAAGAGCCACCAAGTAGGGCAGGGACTGGGTCTCCAAGCTGAGGCTCAGTCCCAGGGTTGGGTCCTCAGCTGCACCATGAGGCCTGGGGCTGCCATGCTGGCCTCCATGGCCCAGGGGCACAAAGCAGGGCATGGGGCCAGCTCTGCCCTGCCCTGGGGCCACACAGGATGTTTCAGGGTGGCACTGGGCGACTGTGTTTCATGAGCTTTGTTGGGGGACCAGCAAGGCCACATGCCGACTGTGGGTGTCAGTCTGGCCTGTGTCCTGCGGCACCCCCTGGGTGTGAGTGTGTGAACACGGGTGTGTGTGCACCAGAAGGAGCATCCTGGCATCAGTACAAATGTGTGAGAGTTAGTACAAGTGTGTATGGAAATGTGAATGTATGCTTGCCCATGTGTGAATATTGAATGTGCAAAAGACCAGATTTGAGGAGACGGTGACAGAGGCTGCTTGACAGACCAGGTGCCGGGGTGAGACACACCAGAGGGACACAGCCAACCAGGGAGGGACAGTGGAGCTGGGCTTGGGGGTGCACACCTGTAATCCTAGCACGCAGGAGGATTGCCCTGAGTTCAAGGCCAGCCTGGGCTACACAGAGACCCCCCCCGATTCAAAAAACCAAAAAGAAAAAAAAGGAAGGGGGCCGGGGATTTAGCTCAGTGGTTCCAGTACCTGCCACGCAAACACAAGATCCCGAGTTCGATCCCCAGTACCAAAAACCAAAAAAGCCCCCAAAGCAGTCCTCGAGCCCCAGGCAGGAGCTGGGTCCAAACACAGCCACCATCCTGTATCCTTCAGCCCCATCTCCCACAGTGTGAATCACAGCACCCTGCGTGCCGTCAAAAGTGGATGCTTCCTCTCCCCTAGAATGGGGATCGGGGGCACCTGACCTTGGGGCTTCCATGGCCGAGAGCATCCAATTTCCATAAGGATGTGCTGAGGACCCTGCATCCCCACCATGTTCCTGGGAACAAACTGTGCAGCTTCCTGTTGGTGAGAGCCACTGTGTCATTCACCCTGGTTGTCCTTGTGGTCAGCCAGCCACACTGTGCAAGCAGGCCCCCTGCTGACTACTAGCTGACAGCAGATACACAGCATGGCCCTGCTAAAACTGCCAGAGCTGCCCAGCCCTGCCTAGTGGAAAATACCAACCACCAGCATGGTGAGGTTAAAAATGTTGACATTTTGAAGTTTTAGGGCAGCTTTTGTTACACACCACTAACTAACTGATACACAAGGATGCTCAAGCAGAGAGCAGGATACAGACTATTGGTTATCATTACTATTTGTGGTTCTTGGGCTTCAGTGAGAATTTGAACTCTTGGAAGAGACACAAGAACTAATTGGTGGATTTGTATATTTAAGATTTTATCATTAAAAAAAGGTAGAAGACATCAGAGAAGGAAGGTGGGAGAAGGAGAAGGGGGAGTGGAGTGGGAGGATGAAGGAATCTCCCCAAATGTCAGATCCGGGTGACCCTCCTTCCCTGATAGCCCCAGCCCACCCCCAGTCCCTTCTCTGTCCCACAGGTGGGGCCCCAAGCCACTGGCATCTGCAGCCAGGCCCAGGCCTGGGCAGACAGCAGTGGGGGCAGGGCTGGAGGCCACGTCTCTGTCTTTGAGAGGCCCTCAGGCGGACGCTCAGGTCCCCATGTCCTGGGGGCTCCAGGGAGGTAGGCGTTGAGCAGAGGGGCTGAGGAGCTGGAGTTCTGGAGCCACAGGGCCGTGGGGACCGAGCAGGTGCCAGGCCGGTGGTCACGGTCCAGAGGCAGGGTCTGCGGTGAGGATGGAGGGGCCGCTCAGCATGGAGGGGCAACCCAAAGTGAGGTGGATGCAGAGAGGGACCAAGGACAGTAGGGGAGGGGCTGCAGCAGGACAGGAGCAGGACAGGGATGGGCAGAGAGACAGGCAGCTGCAGAGAGGTGAGAAAGATGAGGGGGAGAATCACGGAGGAACAGGTGGAAAGAAGTGATGCGTGCAGAGACAGCACAGAGGAGCTGGGCGTGATGATGCATGCCTGTCTTCCCAGCACTCAGGAGGCTGAGGCAGGAGGATTGAAAGTTTGAGCCCAGCATGGGCCACTCAGTGATTTAGCAAGATCTTGCCTCAAAATTTAAAAAAAGGCTGGGGATTTAGCTCAGTGGTTTCGCCACCTGCTGCACAAGTGCAAGGACCCAAGTTCGATCCCCGGTACAAACAAAAAAAAATGGGTGCAGCTGGGGATGTAGCTCAGTGATTGAGAAGGCTTTGTATTCAATCCCCAGTTCCTAAAGAAAGAGAGGTGAAGGGCCAGGGATTTAGCTCAGCAGCATAGTGCCTGCCTGGCAGGCAAAATGTCCTGAGTTCAGTCCTCGGTACCAAAAAAAAAGAGAGGTGAAAGAAAGAGAGACAGAGATGGAGATGGGGGGGAAGGAGAGAGGGGAAGGGAGGGTGACAAGCCCCCATCACTATGGACCCCAGAGGCCACCTGCCGGGCCTAGGCCAGGTCCCCCATGTGTGCGGAGGGGTCCTAAACACCCTGGGCCTTTGAAAATGCTGTCCCTGCTGCCAGACACCCCATTCTCCAAAGTCAGTGACCCCGGAAGCCCTCCTGGAGCCCCACAGTCCCGGTGAGACTCCCCCTCCTCTGGGAAGCCCTCCAGCCCTGCTTCTGGCCTGGCAGTGATGGGGCCTGTGGGCTCCTTGGCTGCTAGTCTCCAGTGCTGCCTGCTCTGGGCCACCACTGTCTGCAAATGGTCCATCCCCCACTGCACCGAGGGCCCTATGGGGCCAGGGCTGGGCTGTCCTGCTCACTGCTGGCCACAGGGTCTTGGATGTCCACTGAATCTGTAGGTGGATGGATGCTGAGGGAAGGAGTTTGGCCTCTGCCCAGAAGGCACTAGGGAGCTGCAGAGGGTTTAATCCAGGGAGGATCAAGATCTGATCTGTGCTTAGAAACTCTGGGCTCTGCTCACTTCAGCAGCACATACACTAAACTCCAGGCTGAAGCTGCCTCCCTGCCCCACCTTCACACATGCTGTTCCTGCTGCTGTTCCTGGCAGGATAAGCCTGCATAAGTGACTGCTCTCTGAGTTTCAGTTTTCTCACCTGTAAAATGAAAACAGAATAATCTCTCCCTCTTGGGGCTGTCTAAAGTACTCCCATGATGCCAGATCTGAGGAAGTCACCTGGGAGAGTGAGAGGTTGCATCTACTATCTTCACCCCACTGCTATCCAGCAGACTCCTACTCCTCCTGCAGTGCCCTATCTGGAGGTCACTTCCTCTAAGTGGTCTCCCTGCTACCCCAGAGGTAGTGGTGATGGGAAAGCTATGGTTTATCGTTTCAGCTGTGGCCCTGGGTGTCATTGGTTTCTGATGTCCACTTCCAGACAAGACCAGTCTTCTCAAGAGCCAGACTACCTGAGGCACGTCAGGGCAGGAGCGAGGGTTTAACTGTGTTTGGAGATGGATGGATGGAGACTGGGTACAGAGATGGGTGGGGTGGGTACATAGGTGGGTGAGCGGCTGGATAGATGGGATGTGTGGATGAGGAGGTGCTGGTGGGTGGGTGGATGGATGCATGGGTAACTGGGTGGGTGGATCACTGTGGAGGTGGATAGGTGAGGCGGTAGAAGGGTGAATGGAGTGAGTGTGTGAATGGACGGTGGAAGGGTAGCGAGTTGGTAGGTGAGTGCTGTGGGAAGGAAGGATGGTGGGTGGGTGGTGGGTGATGAACTGTCTTCCCACCAAGCCCTTCAGGGACCCAGGCCCTGCATGGAGTCGGGAAGTCTAGGAAAGGTGTGCTAGGTGCACAAGCCCGCGGCCATGGACACTCACGCTTCAGACTCCAGCCTCTATAGGTAATGCCACTCTCCTTCTAAGTTCAAACTCATCCCCACTGGGCCTGGGAGACAAAAGAGGACGGTCAGTGGGTCCTCCCACCCACAGAGTCCCTAAGTCCCTGCACCCTTTCCTGCACCCCTTTGTTCTTCCGTGGGAGACTGTCATATTTTAAGAGGGAGCTGGCCCTTTAAGAATGAATGGAAACCTGGGTGCAATGATGCTTGCAATCCCAGCTATTTGGAAGGACCAGGGAGGCTGAGGCAGGAGGATCACTTGTGCCCAGGAGCTGGAGACCCTGTCTCAAAATAAGGGGAGGGGCATGGTGGCACACACCTGTAATCCCAGTACTTGGGAGGCTGAGGCAGGGGAATAGCCGGAGTTCAAGGCCAGCCTGGGCTACATAGTGAGTTCAAGGCCACTCTGAACTACATAGCGAGACCCTCCAAAAAAAAAAGTGTGCTTGGGTGTAGGGTGTAGCTCAGTGGCAGAGCATGTGCTTATTATGCTCAAAGCCCAGGGTTCCATGCCAGCACCAAGAAAAAGAAAAGAAAAAAAGGAAAAGGCAAAGAAAATGCAGAGACTTTCAGTGTGGTGGGTTGAGCATGGAAGATGTGAGCATTGTAAGGAAAAGGTGGGGAGGGCCGGGGATTTAGCTCAGTGGTTCCGCTGCCTGCCTGCCTCGCAAGCGCAAGGTCCCGAGTTCGATCACCGGTACCAAAAAAAAGAGAAGGTGGGGACCGGCAAAATGCCATCGCAGTCTTCCGTTTTGTTCCCCTATGCAAATGAAGTGTTTATTATTCATGAACCGAACCTCAGAAGGTGGGACATCCGTTTAGAGGCGGGGGCTGGTCGAGGGCGGGGCCATAGGAGGGGCGGGGCTTACCCGGGGGCCGGACAGTCAGGTGCGGCTGCGTCTCCGCGTAGCCAGCCACGGGCTGGCCATCTGGGCTGAAGGCTGCACCCTGGCCTGAGAAGGGGTCGGCGCAGGCTGAGGCCCCAGGCTCTGTCTGCCCGGCCTGGCTCAGCGCCGCGGCCTCCCCGCCCGCCGCCTACCTGTGCGGTTGGACTGGTCGATCATGGGCTGCACGATGCGTCTCCGCGCGTTGATGAACCTGGGGAGGCGGCTGAGTCGGAGCGGTGCGGAGGGCGCGGCTCGGCGTCAGCACCGCGGACAGCGCCCCGCCCCCGCCCGCCACTCACCAGTTGTTCACTTGCAGGATGGTGAGCCCGGTGTCCTGCGCCAGCTGCTTCTTCTGCTCCTCGGAGGGGTATGGGTGCTGCGGCCACCACAGGAGTCACCCGCCTGGTCCCCAAGGCAGTGACTCCACCGCGCCTCTTCCAGCGAGTGGGGCGCATCGCCGGGGGGCGGGGCAGCCCGGAGTCTCGGTCCCGGCTGCGCCTCTCCCTCTGCCCGACTTATCCAGTACCGGGAATTGAGCCCAGGCTCTCATACCGAGCTACATCACTAGCCTTCTGTTTTTTAAGGATAAGTCACCCAGGCTGAGTTCAAACTTGCAGTTCTCCTGCCTCAGCCTCCCACAGTGCTGGGCTTACCGACTCGAATCCAGCTAAGTCTCTATCTTGTTCTGACTGCCCCTCTCCATCTCTGTCTTTTCTCTTTGTCAGCCTCTCCCTGTCTATTTTCCCGCCACTCTCCATGGGACAGTGTGGTGCACTGGTTAAGGCCAGACTGCCTGAGTTTGAAACCACTTCTGCTTGTGTGGCCTTGAGCAAGTCCCCTAACCTCTCTGGGCAGATCCCAATGGAGCCTCCCTCCCCGATGTTGGGTCGGTGGGCTGTGGGGAGCCCTGGGCAAGTGGGGACCCCTAGGAGCGCCCTGCACCCAGGGAAGGCTGGGCTTCGCTCTGCCCTCCCAATCCATGCGCATCTCTCCAGTCGCCCTCCAGTCTCACCCCGGGCCCTCCTGCCTGGCCTTTGTGGCCCTGCCAGCATCCCCATGGCCCCGGCAGCAGGACTGACCGACAGGTGCTGGAACAGCCAGGCCCGCATGATGTTGGTGGCCACTTTGGGGAAGATGCCCCGCTTCTTGTTCCGCCGCCGCTCCTGGTCCAGCTCCTCGTCCTCTCCCCCAGAACTGGGCGAGGCCACGCCCGTGTCCAGCCCGTCTCCTGGAGCAGAGACAGGCACACTGCACCGGTGGGCAGCAAGGCTCGGGGACCGTGCGGCCCAGGACCTTCACCCGAGGCCCTGGCCTCACGGCCCACGTGCCCTGCAAGTCCACTCGCGGCCTAACCTCAAGCCTGCCCACCTTTCCCCGCTGCCCCCCAACTTTCTCACCTTGGTCGCTGGCGTTGTCCCCACTCTGCGAGGCCAGGCCCCCACTGGATGGGCCCGGGGTCCCCAGACGCACAGACCCACTGTCCTCTTGGTCTCTGATCCATGCATTATCCTCGAGAACAAGAGCTGGGAGTCAGTGCCAAACCTCGGGGAGCCGCAAGGCACGGGGACTGTGGGCCCCAGAGCTGGGAACCCTTCGGGGGGAAGCCAGCTGTGTCATTTGGGGCAAGTCACCTCACTGCTCTGTGCCTCAGTTTCCTCAACTAGAAAGTTCAAGACGACAGCAGTGTCTGCCCACAAGAACTCGGCAAGCTGATTTATGGAAAGGGGAGCGGCGATCATGCAGCCTGCACACCTAGTGGAGATCCTGGGGCGGGGAGTGTTCGGAAGGAGGCTGCACCCCTGTGGGAGCAGCACCCCGCTTATCTCCTGACCGTGCCGCAGGGTCTGGGCATAACCCTGTCATCAGCTATTAACATTTCTGCAGCAAAGTGAATGAATATTTAACTAAGTGGAATAAATAAAGGCTATAAATAGCCTCTCATTCGTTCAGGTCAGATTTTGCTGCCAAGTGATTTTGCACTAACTTAGCGGGGGAAAGAAAGTCCAAAGTCTGAGTTTTCAGGGATTCTAGGAGCTCAAAACTGCAGATGAAGGAACCCGGGGCTGTATTTTCTTTACCCAAACTGGGCCCCACTTTGGGGAACTTGACAATGTGCTGGATTTGCCCTCTGCCCTGGCCCTGTGCCCCCAGGAAGCCACCCACCCATTGCCCCCCATCTGGATTACTTTGTGCCTTGGCTCAAGATGGGGTTCACAGCTGGGCATGGGGGATGCACACCTATAATCCAAGCACCGTGGAGTCTGAAACAGGAGGATTGCAAGTTTGAGCCCAGCTTGGGCAATTTAGTGACTTAGCAAGACCCTGGCTCAAAATAAAAAATAAGAAAGGCGGGCTGGGCCCGGGGATTTAGCTCAGTGTTTTCACCACCTGCTGTGCAAGTGCAAGGACCCGAGTTCGATCCCCAGTACCAAAAAAGAAAAAAGAAAGGCGGGCTGGGGCTTTAGCTCAGTGGCACTGCACCTGCCTCACAAGCGCAAGGTCCTGAGTTCGATCCCTGGTACCAAAAAAAAAAGCCTGGGCCACTATCAGGCCACCATACAATCTCTCGCTCTGGCTCTGGCAATTGGCACATTTCCCACCCTGGAGACCTGGGGACAAACAGCCGCCTGAAGTTCCTGCCCCAGTGCCCTCCTGCCCTCCATCCTGGCCGCGTGACCACAGGCACCTTCATATCACCCTCATGGGGAATCCGCGTGTTCCCAAAGGACTCAGAGCCGCTCTCTCCCGGGTCTGAGGGTCAGTTCGGAATCGTGGGCTGAGCTGTGGACACTGTGGCTGTCACCTGGGATCTGAGGGGCTGCTGGGAGCCTGAGGTGAAGAGCCTGAGGCTGTCCTGGGCTTCTGGTGGCACCAAAGTGAGCGTGACCCCCTGAGTGTGCCACTGGTGGGTGTCCAAGGTGTCCCCAGAGAGTGTGTGGCTACTGTGACTCCCACGAAAGTGGGTTTATGACTCCAAGAGGACATTGGGTGGGTGTGGCCAGCGGGGACCGTCACACAAGTGTGCTGAGGCTGTGAGGTCTGACTAGGAGCCTCTCAGGGACTGGTCCCCAGTTGTCACATCCAGAGGTTCTCACTGAGCACCAGGCCACTCTGACCCGTGTGCACTGCCCTGACCTGAGCTGCTGGGCCTGTATCTGACATCACGTGTTGCACCACAGCTGTGAGTGGTGACACTGACCACCAGGTGTGGCCCTCAGGGGACCTTCCCCCAGCTGTCGCTTTTCTATCTCCATGTGTGTCTGTGGGGAGTCAGGAGGCTCATGGCTGCCCTATGTGTCACTGTTGTCAACGAGACTGCACCACAGCCACCTGTCAGATGATGCTGTCCTGCCCACAGGGCTGTGTTCAAACCCGGGGGGCTGTGCGGAAAACCTGTGCCCGGCTGTCACGTGCTTGCATGCAGGCACCATGCCCTGTGGGGTCCGAGCATGGCTGGAGGCTATAGTGTCACCGGCGCTCACTCTAGAACACTGCTGCTGAATCAGCGACCAGGTCTACACTGCTGTCCCGAGGCCCAGGTGTGTCAGGACGTCATGGGTGCTGTCCTCTGCCGTGTAGCTGGGACCGGGGGCTCGGTGTGAGCCTGCATGGGTGCAGCTGAGCCTGGGTGTGGTGTCGGCAGCTGTCGGTGTGCGGCCCGTGTGTGCCCTTGTGCAGCTGTTGTGTGGTCGGCATGTGACCTTGTGCTGTGAGTGCCCCCTGGCTGGCTGAACCTGAGGCGCTGCGGTATGTTGTGGACCCCCTGCCATGTCCAGCCCGGGCTCTGGTGGCCAGGTGACACGTGACGCCCCGTCTGGGACCCACCTGGTCTGGGAGGCTGGGGCAGGAGGCTGGGAAGTCCTCCAGATCCTCCCTGCAGCCACTGTCCCGCTCCTCGATGACCAGGTCGATGGGCATCTTTCCCTTGAGGCAGGTGATGTAGCGGTGACAGAAGTTGTCGCACAGGTCGTGGACCTGGGGGGGCACCGGGGTACTGGGGGGACCACCCGGGGGCCAGGGCTGGGGTGCTGGGGGCAGGGTGGCACGGCGTGGGAGGACCGGCGAGGGGCTGGGGCAGGCAAGACGCGCTCACCTTCTCCAGCTCCAGCAGGTGGAACCGCAGCACCTGGATGGCCTGGATCATCTGCAAGGGCAAAGGGGCAGGAACGGAGCTCAGTATGCCAGACAGAGCAAGAGGGGACACAGTGGGCAGAGAGAAGGACAGAGACACAAAGCCAGCATGCAGGGGGCGAAAGAAAGAGACAGAGACAGAGAGAGAAAAGTCCACCCCAGGAGTGATCTGGTATGCAGCATGCCTGCCCAGCTCACACCCTGCTGGTCCGTCCTCCCCCCCACCCCACCGTCAAATCACATTTCCCAGAGTCCTTTGCCAAACAGTTTGGCCAACAGGAAGCCCTGAAGGGAGCTTGGGGCCAGAGAGGGAGCAGCCCCAGTACTTCTTCCTCCCTCCTCCCCCTTCGTGTCCTCCTCCCCTCCCTCTCACAAAGGAGGACTGAGGCTTAGGGGGCACCACCTACCCTGGCTCACAGAGCCAGAGAGTGGCAGAGCTGGGATTTGAACTCAGGCCACAGGGTCCTGTTCTCAGACTCTAGGCTCTGCTGGTTGTAAATGGGCAACAATGCTGTAGTGTGAGGTGAGGGTCTCCTCTCTGCTCCACCCAGCCCACCAAGGATATGGCGGAGGGCCCGAGAGGGCCAGGGCTCACCAGATTGTCCAGCTCTGGGTTGGAGGAGAAGAGGGGCCTCTCGGAGCGGACCTGGGGGGAAGAGAGAGACCAGTGAGCTCAGCACCCGGGTCCCACCTGCCCTGTGGTTCTCCTGACACCCTGCAGGTGGATGGCCCTGCTCACCTGCTTGGCAAAGGCAGCGATGTCCTCGTTGAAGGAATCGGAGGAGCAGACATCGCCGCCGGGGGGCGCACCCAGCCCAGTTCCCGCCCCATCTCGGGGTGAGCATGTGGCCAGCTCACATTTCTCAAACACCAGGGCTAGCAGCGGGAAGAGTGGGTGTCTGGGGAGGAGGGGGAGCAGAGGGCTCGTGAGGGGAGCTGTGATCAGATGTGATGGCACATGCCCACTGTCCCAGCTCTCGGGAGGCCGAGGCAGGCGGATTACAAGCTTGAGGCCAGTCTGGTTCATACAATGCGTTCAAGGCCAGCTTGACTATATAATGAGATCTTTTCCTCCAGAGAGAGGGAGAGAGAGAGAGAGAGAGAGAAAGAGAGAATATGAAGAGAGGTGGTATAGGGGGAACTGGGAGGAAACAAGAGACCCAGAGAAAGGACTTGGACAGTGACACAGAAAGACGCGACACACGGAGAGGAGCAGACCCAGCGAGAGAGCAACAGGGCAGTGGCTGCAGGGACTCAGGAAGCCCTGGGAGCTTCCGTATGTCCCACTCACCCATAGATCTCATCCTTCTCCCTCTTCAGGCCGTCACTGTCCAGGCCTGGGGGCGGGGGCAGCCGGTGGGGGCCATAGGGCCCGGGGGCTCTGGGTGCCGGGGGCGCCACCTCTGAGAAGCCAGCCAGGGCTGCTGTGCCATCCACGATGCCTGGGTAGTGGGGCAGCTCATCGTACTGGGGGGAGATGAGAGGGGCCCCGGCAGGTCAGCACCCCAGGACCCAGCCAGCAGCCAGAGCCAGGGGATGCGCCCTCCATCGCCCACTGTCCAAGCCCCCACCTCTTAACCCCTAGTGTCCCAGGGAGCGGTGGTGGGGCACAGATCGAGTGGCGTCCCAAGGCCTTTCCCTGTGCCCTGGGCTGTGAGAAATGTCCCATCCGGATTCCCAATGTGTGGCAGGAGGACTGGGAGGAAGAGACCCCGCCAGGTCAGGGTGGGGGTTGGGGCAGCTGGCTGTTAGCAGCCAGGGGAGGGAAGGGAGCAGAGATTCAGACACGGAGAGATGGGGTCACCAGGACATGTCCCATGGGAATGCGGCACTGTTTGCACATCGGTCTCCCTCATCCATCACACTTTCCGGATGTCAGATTTGCACACCCGAGTGTCTTCACACATGTCACACCCATTCCCCATGGGACTCCAGCACACGCGGATGGATGCAGCGCACACTCCTGTGTGTCACACATGCACAACTCAGATGCACATCAGGACCGGGAGGCTGCGTGCCACACCCCTGGAGTCACCAGCCACCCCCCACACAGCCCACAGCCAGGCAGAGGAATGGAAGAGTGACCGCTGGGACATTCAGCACCATGCCTGGCACGCGTCAGTAAACATGTGTGGAAGGATAGGACAGACACTCGTGCAAACAGCCTGGAGAAACAAGAGCATGAGGTGACATTTCCTGGTCCTGTGACCCCAGAACCACTCACGGGGAGGGCAGAGGGTCCCTTCCATCACCGGGCCAAACCCTGACCTTGGTGATGAAGACATGGAGCCTCCAGGGGGCACAAGGACTGGCACAAGGGGAGACAAGTGTCCTGCTGCCGCTCTGCCTCCGACCCTGGGCAGACCTGGCCCCCAGGCGGGCCCTGTACATCTGTCTCCTTCCTCTCCCCAATGCTGCTCCTCTCCTAACTTCTCCAGAGCTCCGAAGTTGAATCCAACTGCTCCCCAATGCTCCTCAGCTCCCAGGACAGGGTCCTCACCTCCTCCACGCTCCCGTCCCCCACCCTCCAAGGTGAGTGCTCCTCTCCTCCCTCACCTCTTGCTGTCACTGAGAGCCCGAAGACAGCAGCGTCCCTCGCCAGCAGCCCGGTGAGACCCACCTCTCCCACACTGTCCCCTCCCCTAACCTGAGGTGGCCAGGTCGCAAACAAAAGTAGACCAGAAGCAGCAAAGGAGGGGGACGGGTGGAGGGTGGAGGTATAAAGGGCTGAGGTGGAGAGGACCCGGGGACAGAAAGAGGGGACACAGGGGGTGGCTGGTGCCGAGGGGCAGAGAGGGAGTCAGGGAGACAGAGGGACAGAGGGACGGAGAGAGGGGCGGAGAGAGGGCGGGAGAGAGGGGTCCCTCACACCTACCCTCCGGGCCATGGGCGGGGAGGGCGCGGCCCGCTGCAGCCCCAGGCCCACAGCGTCGCTGGGTGGCGGAGGGGGGGTCCCCGGCCCCCCAGGCCTCAGCGGGGCGCGCCAGGCGGGGCGGCGGCTCGGAGCATGGGCCGGGCCAGCGGGGTCACGGCTCGGGGCTCATGGCGGGGCGCGGGCCGCGGGGGTCGCCAGGCCCCGCCCGGGCCCCGTCCCGCCCGGGGCTGCGGGACCGAGGCGGCCGCTACGCGCGGGTCAGACCGGGCGGGGGCGGCTCCCAGTGCTCGGCCGGCGGCTCCCTCCCTCCCGTCTCCTCCGCTCCGCTCCCCGCTCGCTCCTCTGTGGTCACATCCGGAAGTTCCACCGCGGAGGCGAGGAGATGCTTAACCCGCTGTCCGCCGGCGGCGGGGCGGGGGCCGGGGCGGGCCGGGGCGGGGCGGCAAGGAGGAGGGGCGGGGCCGTGAGGGGCGGGGTCTGGGATGGGGCGGGAGGAGGGGGGGGTCTGGCCGGCAAGGGCGGAGCCGAGGTCGGGGCGGGCAGCTGGGAGGAGGGGCGGGGCTCGAGGGGGTGGAGCCTAGGACAGGACGGGAGGGAGGAGGGGCGGGGCGACCTGGGCCCTCCCTCACCGGACCACGCCCCTGCCTCGCCCCTCTCTCCTCCCCCCTTCCCCTGCCCCTCCCTCTCCGCCGGCCCCTCCCCCGTCTCCCCTACTGTCCCCCTCCCTTTCCCTCCTCTTGCCGGCCCATCTTCTCCGCCTCCCCTCTCCCCCCCTCCCCGCCCATCCCTGCCCTAGCCCTTCCCCCTCCTCCTGCCCCAGCGCTTCTGGCCCGCCACCGCCCACCCTGTGGCCTTTGTACTCCAGGTTTCCAGGATACAACTAACCCTGTCCCCCTCCTCGGCCACCGGCCTCCGACTGGCTCCCCCCACCCTTGCCACCCTTCCTGCCTCTCCAGTCTCCATGGTTCTCCTCTCTGGGAGACAGGATCAGAGAGAACAGGAGGCAAGAAGGAAGCCAAACTCCCATACTTTAGTTTTTCTTCTTGGTCCCTTTCCCTTTCTTCCCTGAGAAACAAGGACACCGTGTGTGCGCGCGCGTGCGTGTGCATGTGTGTGTGTGCGTGCGTGTGTGTGCGTGCGTGTGTGTGTGTGTGCATGTGTGTTATCCCTCTGCCCGCCTTGACCCCTGCCTTTAGAGGGTCCATGTTCTGAAGCCCCGCAGCTGTTGTCAGGGGGCTGTGGTGTCCCCAAACTTGGGGGTAAATTGTGGGTCGTGTGAGAGGGGCCCGCATCGCTTAGCTAACCTTAAGACAGCTTTGAAACGGGCGTTCCAATGAGACAGGGTCAAGGGTTTGTGCAGTGCAATTTCCTGAGCACCTACTAAGTGCTGGGTGGTGTTCTGGGGACATTGCAGAGAGCAAAAGACTAACTTCTGGGCCTTATGTTGCCCAAGGTCTGCTCAGGATGGGAGGAGGGAGGAGAAGCAGTGACAGATGTGTAAGTGTGAACTGCTGCCCGGGAGTGGCGAGCATTCTGAAATAGGACAGAATAAAACAGGTCATGGGCTGGACAGGGATAGCCCTCAGCCGTGGTGGCCTGGGACCTGTGAGTGGCCTAGGGAGGGGGGACACAGACCCAGACAGAGGGGGACAGAAACACCAGGGAGGGAAGAAGAGACTCACGAGGGGGGGGGGTGTGTGAGTGGCCCCTGGCCCCACAGCAGGGGCACCGCGGTGGCTCAGCACTCCCCAGGTGGTGAGTGGAGGTTGTGAGGGAGGACAGAAGAGGACACTGGCCTAGTCCTCAGGCCCCTGGGTTGCCTGCCCACCCACAGGCTCCCAGGAGCTCCTCCCCTGGTGTCTGTCCATCGCTCTCCTTCGCTGCTGTCTCCCCGCTGTCTTTCCAGCCCACACACAGCTAAACCAACCTGGGGCCAGGCCCATGGTCTCCCCGGAAATTGGCTGGCTGCAGCTCAGCCCAGCCCTGCCCTCTTCAACTGCTGCATCCTGCAGGACAGATAACAGAGGACATACTTGGCTCTGGGGCCTGGGCTGAGGCTGGGGTCCCCACCCAATGTCCTGCAGGAGATGCTGGCCCTTTAAGGAAGGTTCTGCGGGCCCTGATTCCTGAGGTACACCAGGGAGCAGACAATTAATTAAAGTCACTTTTTAATTAAAGATGCAAAGCTCTCCTGCCTGTCCTGTCCCTCCTCAGCTGAGATTCAGGGTGGGCCCAGAGGTCTGGGGTCCAGGCCTTGGGGTATGTGTGCGTGGGGGGGGGTGCTGAGGTCCCCTTGTCTGGCTTCCTCTGAACACAGTGGCCTCATGGGAGAGTCCCAGCCCTCCTGGGGGTGAGTGGACAGCAGAGAGGGGTGGGAGGGGTGGAGGACAGAGGGAGGGGGATGCGGCCACCATGGCCCAGGGCTCAGAGGACCCTGCAGCCCCCAAACAGGAAAAGGGCTTAGACTCAGGGGCACCAATCTTTTCAATGAATGAAAGGGTGCAGTGCTGTGAAGGGAAGAACAGGAGCCTGAGGTGACCCGCAGGGACTGCAGGGAGGAGGGGCGGCGTTGCCTAGCGTACCTCTCACACGCGCCTGTACACGCACACACGCACACACGCACACAAACACAAATGCCCTGCCGGCCTCTCCTGAGCCAGCTCCCTTACTCTGCCCTCAGTCCTTGTCTCCAGGGGATGGCAGGTGGCAGACAGGCCTGCTCTGGAGCATCGTTGGGCATCTGGAAGCAGCTTCAGGCCTGTGCTGCCCTCAGGCACAGCCGGGTGTGCATCTGGGCCCGGACAGGGGCCCTCTGTCACCCTCATTGTGGCGAAGGGAGGGTCTCAGGCCGTGCCACGCCTCTCCGCAGTCTGGAGTAGCTGGGGAATCCCAGGATGCCGCTCTGCTGCCCGGCTGGGACTCCCACCTGAGCTTAGGCCACTGCAGCAGCCGCTGTCCCCGGGGTGCCCAGCAGCCCCAGGATCCGCTATGACCAAGGCCCTGCCCAGGGCCCTTCGTGTCCTCCCTCCACCCTGCCAGCTCTGCCTCATGCTGCCCTTTGTCCACAGCTGTGCTTGTCCCCCTTCCTCTCCCAGGGGCCCAGCCTCTGTCCCCCTCCCTCACTCCTAGGCACTTTGGGTTCTGTGTCTGTGCTCAGGGTATGGGGAAGCCGCCCCTCCTCGCTCTCTCTCTCTCTCTCTCTCTCTCTCTCTCTCTCTCTTTCTCTCTCCCTGCCTGGGCCAAGAGTCCAGGTATCCTCTGTCTTTCTTATTTCTGTCTCTCTTTGTTTTCTCTGCTTTCCACCTCACTGCATCTCTGCCCCTGGCCATGTCCTGAGGTTCCCTGCACCCCGCTGCCCAGGCCTTCGGTAGACACACAGGCCCATGTCCCCGTCCCTCCCCTGGCTGGCCTGGCTCCAGGAGAAGGAAACATTTATCTTGGGTTCTTTTATCCGTGCTGCCGCCAGGCCATCCATCACTGCAGCCCGCGACTCTGGCGGTTCATTTGTCACTGCCGCCCCCTTCCCCTCTGCCTGCCAAGCAATCATACCATTAGCCATGGCCCAGCAGAGGCCACAGGAGGACCGGGCCCCCAGGGACCCATGCCGCCCTCTCCCAGCTCCGAGCCGTCCCCGCCCCCTCTGTCCCTTCCGCCTGGGTCTGCTTTTCTTTGCCGCTGCTCTCTGGCCACTGCGTCACGCCCTTGCCCTTTCTGAGTCCATGTCTCCCCGTCACTGCCCCCGTCTCTTCCTGACCCCTGCTGCTCTCTGTCCCTCCCAGGGGCTGGGAGGCTGCTCTGTCTCTCCCCCGCCTGCCTGAGTCTCTGGCTTCCCTCTCGGGCTTCTGTCCCTGTGTCTGCTGCTGGCCCATGGTTCTGTGCCAAGGCCCCGGCTCCACCTGTCTGTCCTCTGCTGACCCCAGCTTCCCCTCTGGACCCATCAGCCCTGACACCATCCCTCCACCTCACAGCGAAGGTCGAAGGGGAGAGGACAGGGATGCAGGGGAAACTCTGAGGACCTGAAGGTTCCCCTCTCCTCCGCCCCAGGTTTGGGTGCTCAAAATTCTTCCCTGCGGTTGTGTGTGGCAGCACATGTTTGTAATCCCAGCTTGGTGGGAGGCTGAGGCAGGAGGATCCAAGTTCAAGCCCAGCCTGGGCAACTTAATGGCTTAAGGAGGAGTCTGAGTCTAAACATAAAAAGGGCTGGGGCTGTAGCTCAGTCCAAAGGCCCTGGGTTCAATCTCTAGTACCAGAAAGAAAGAAAAAGTCCTCCCTAAGTCTCCTTCAGTCCCCATGGGAACACAAATGGGGCATGGATGAGGCGGCCGGAAGCAGCTCTCACTGGCTCCCTGGCTGGGGCCCACACGTTTTCCCACTGGAAGCAGGAGGCAGGAAGTGCCCTGGGTCTCCACCCCGCCAGCTGAACCTGCAGAGTCTGGATGGGGCCTCCATAATCACACCTGCCAATTCCCTAAAATAAATCTCCCCTCCCCACCCAGACGTGGTCCATCCGTGCAGGGGTGCGTTGCTCGCCCGTGAAAAGGACCCCAGCACTGCCATTCCCCTTCCCTGGGGTTCTGCTTCAGTGACGGGTGTGGTGGGCAGGTCAGCCCACAGACAGGGGCTGGGGTGACTGCTAAGGAGAACAGGGTTTCCTTTTGGGGTGATTTACAAGGTTCTGGAGGGCCAGGGATTTAGCTCAGTGGTGCCACTGCCTCCCTGGTACTGCCCCCCACCAAAAAACCCCAAAAGAACAAAAAAACCAAACAAACAAGGTCCTGGAAAAAGACAGTGCAGATGACTTTCATACCTTTTTTCCCCAGTACTGGGAATTGAACTCAGGATCTTGCACTTGCCAAGCAGATGCAGCAATGCTGAGCTACATCCCCAGCCCTGGCTTTGTACATCTTGAAGATGCTAAATCCCATCGGACTGGCCACTTTCTTTTTATTTTTTATTGTTTGTGGTTTGAACCCAGGGCCTTTTTAGGCTCTCACTAAGTCACTAAGTTGCCCAGATTGGTCTCAAACTTGCGATCCTCCTGCCTCAGCCACCCAGAGTGCTGGGATTGCAAGATACACTAGCTCTAACTTTCCCCCTAAAGTGGTTACAATGGGAAAATTTGTTATGTGAATTTGGACCACAATTTCAAGACAGTTCAAGAGATAGAGATAAAAAGGGACTTGGAGGCAAGAGGCCATGGGGAGTCATGTCCGAAGATGCTACTGAATCAAGTTCACACTAACTTAGTGTTAAAACAGAACACAACTTTATTCTCTTGCAGTTCTGGAAGCCGAGTCCAAAGTCAGCGTTACTGGGTCAAAGTCAAGCTGATAGTGGGGTTGTGTCCTCTGGAGGCTCTAGAAGCAATCCATTATTGCCTCTTCTATCTTCTGGAAGTGTCTAGAAGCTTCTGGGAGTTTCAGGAAGCTTCTGAAAGCCAACATTCCTTGGGATGGAGCTGTGTCACTCCAATATGAGAAACTTTTTTATTTTTTGGAGACAGTCTCACTATGTAGTTCAGGCTGTCTTTGAACTCAGTATGTGGCCCAGGCTGGTTTCAAACTCACAGTGCTGGGATTACAGGTTTGCACCACCACATCAGTTTCTGTTTCTTCTTGCCAGGATGCATGGGGCTGCATTTCAGGCCAACCTAGAAGACCCAGGATAATCTCCTCACAATACGATCCTTAATTACATCTTCAAAATCCTTTTTGTCTCAGGGGGCTACACAGACACAGTTCTGGAAGTTAGGACCTGGACAACGTTTGCGGAGCTATTACTAAGCCAATGGCTGCCAGCAGTTTTGCTCCTCTGCACCCCACCCCCATCAAGAGGTGGCTCTTGCTTCTCCTCCCCTTGTCTTGTGACCACAATGAGGACCTGAAGCTTTGCAGCTTGCACCGTGGGGCTCTGGGAGCCTGGCTAGTGTGGAAGGTGGCAGCCATGCAGGGAAGACAGTGCCCGCTCCCAGGCCTGGCTGAGGACACTTTGCAAACTGTGGCCACAGTAGTGACCTCAGCTGAGACCACACAGAACAGAACTGCTCTATCAACACAAATAATTGTGGGAAAGAATACACCATTGTCTCAAGCCAGTGAGTTTGGGGGGAGCTGTTTGTTACCCAGCCACAGATAACTGATACAGGAAGATATGAGGACAGACATTTGGAAACAGGCAGAAAGGAGAGGGTGAGCCCTTGGTGGCTGAATGGAGAATATTCCAAGCACACAGCAGGGTGGGGGACCACATGGGAAGTCGCTGGCTGTAGGCAAAATAAGCCCAACAAAGTAGCCTAAAAGGCCCGATCCTTGTCCTCCTGGTTTGCTGGCACATGACCCACATTTGATCAAACTTCTTTTTTTTTTTTGGTACTGGGGATGGAACTCAGGACCTTATGCTTTCGAGGCCGGCGGTGGAACCACTGAGCTAAATCCCTGGCCCTGGTCAACCATTCTGACAGGTGACCTTGATCTTGGAGGGAAGCCAGGAACTGGGGACTCTTTGGCATTAATTCCAGTAGTGACCTCATCCAGTCCCCATAACCTGATGGGTAAGAGCCGTGCGCACCAATTCTGTGTGTCCCTGAAATCTTTCTGCAAGCCGGGAGTGGTGACTGACTCCTGTAATCCCAGAACTCAGGAGGCTGAGGCAGGAGGATCTTCAAGGGTTGGAGGCCAGCATGGGCTACATAGTGAGTTTAAGACCAGCCTGAACTGCATAGCGAGACCATGTCTCAAAAAAAACAACAAACCTTTCTGCAGAAGAAGCTGTTAATTGCCCTTCAATATCCATTAAATTTTTCTATGATTTTTAATATGATGACTCAAGAATGCCCTACAGCTTTAACTTCTTCCAAAGCTGAATGTGGCCATGTGACTCAAGTCAGTCACTGATATGTAGAGGAAGCAACGTGTGGGATTCCTGGGCTGAATCCTTAAACAAAAGGAGGAGGATCCTGGCTCTCCCTGACTTCTGTCCCCTCCGACATCACGGCAGTGAGCTGCCCTGGGCTCAGTGAGGGGCTGTACTCCGGCCATGTCACACAAGAGACCTGTATCTTTGCTTCCAGTGTTGGGGATTGAACCCAGGGCTTTTGAACTGAACTACACTCCTGACTCTTTATTTTTTCATTTTGATTTAAAAAAAATTTTTTTTGAGACAGTGTCTCACTATATAGTCCAGCTGGCCTTGAACTTGCAGGGATCCTCTTGCCCCAGCCTCCCAAGTGTTGGGGTTACAGCCGGCACCACCACACCCAGTCTTATTTTTTCATTTTGAGACAGGGTCTTACTAAATTGCAAAGTTCCCTAGGCTGTGCTTAAACTTGCAGTCCTCCTCAGCTAAATCCCCTCAGCCTCCCAGAGTGCTGGATTATGGGTGTGTGACACCATGAAAGACCTGGATTTTTTTATAGCCCTCTTGAAATAGTTACCACACCATAGATGATTTGTTACACAGTAGAAACAAACCTTTATTTAAGACATTATCACACAATTTCATATTCCTTTTAATCACATCTAAGTCTAACTACTACTAATAAAAATATTAATACAGCCAGGGATTTAGCTCAGTGGTTCCAGTGCCTGCCTTGCAAGTGCAGGGTCCCGAGTTCGATCCCTGGTACCAAAAAAAAAAAAAGAAAGAAAAAAAATATTAATGCAGTGTCCTGTGATCCTAGTATTCGGAAGGCTGAGGCAGGAGGATCTCTGAGATCAAGGCCAGCCTGAACTGCAAAGTGAGACCCTGTCTCAAAAAACAAACAAAAATATTAACAGGAAGTCATTTCAAGGGCTTGCTATACGTCAAGCTCTGTTCAAATCACTTCCCATACACTTTTCATTTAATCAACTCTCTTCTCCGATTCACAGAGGGAGACACTGAGGGTACCGTGCCTGGGACAGCACAGCTGGTAGCTGGTGAGGCTGGGATTTGAACCCAGGCAGTCTGATTCCAGGTCCAGCATCTTAGGTTGGCACTGATCGGAGCTCGGGGAGTCCCGGAGCTGGGGCACTGGCTTCGCGGTGGCTGTGGGCCCCTCACCTGTCTGTGCCGCCAGCATCTGTGAGTTCCAAAGCACACTGTCAGTCGGCACAAGGCCGCACCGTGCTGCTGTGAGAAGCAGCCCTCGTGCTGCGGCGGAGGGAGACAAAGGCTTACATCTTTTTGGTTTTTGAGGCAGGGTCTCACTGTGTAGTTCAGGCTGGCCTTGAACTCACTGTGTAGCCCAGGCTACGACTTCTGGTGACCTTCCTGCCTCAGCCTCCCCAGTGCTGGGATGACAGGCGTGTGCCACCACACTGGCCAAGGTATTATTCTAGTACACATTCGCGTCTTCCTCGAAGCAGTCACCCCATTTTCCGGATGTGGGAATCGAGTCAGTCCCAAGCTGAGCCCCGAGTAGCCGCCCAAGCTCCCCGCGCGCTGCTTTGAAGCCCACCCTCCAGGCGGTGCTGTTCAGATGCCAGGGTCCCTGTCCCTTGTCTGCGGCGCCTGGGTCTCCTCCCACGCGCGCCCTTCCCGCTGAGGGGCCTCCCCACTTCACCTCGCTGCGCCGCTTGCTGCTTCTGGGAGAGGGCGACACAGTGCTGGCGGTGGACGGAGCGGGCGTGCGGAGGGGGCGGCACGACTTCCGCGCCTGACTGCTCCTTTTACCCTTGGGGTCAGGAAGCCCCCTCCCGCCCTCTCGTCCACATCGGCTCACACACGCTGACTCAGTTTCCCTCCTCACTCCAGGTCACCCTGATTCTGGACCGCCCCCCCAGACCCATCGTTCCCGCCGGGGGCTCCGTCCCGCACTCTGTTCTCTTGGCTTCGCTGTTCCCGGCGCCCGGTTTCTCGACGATCACCTCCCTGCATCCCCCTCCGGCCTCAACTCTCCGGTCTCCCGCGGGCCGCCTGTAAGCTGGGCGCCTCGAGGCCCGGCCGTGCCACAGGCTCCCCGGGCAGCCCCCGCCTCCGCTCACCCCGCGGCTCCTGCGCCCCCTGCTGCTCTTCCTGGGCACTGCGTCTCCCTCGTTCCCAGCCCCACCCTCTCCTTAATGGGCCGCTTCCCGGCTACTCCTTTTTCTTCCTTCCTTTATTTATTTAGTGGTAGTGGGGATTATTGGACCCAAGGCCTTTTTAGTGTTTTTTGGTACCGGGGACCGAACTCGGGTCCTTGCTCTTGCATAGCAGGCGGCGAAACCACTGAGCTGAATCTCCGGCCCGGCCTTTTAGCTTTAAGTCTAAGTTGCTAAATTGCCCAGACTAGGCTTGAAGTTGCGATCCTTCTGCCTCAGCCTCCCAGAGTGCTGGGAAAACAGGCGTGCGCCACGGCACCTGGCTCTGGCTCCTTCTTTCTTTTTTCAATACAACACCGCTTTCCTGCAGGATGCTCTTCCTGGCTCTCTCACCCTGCTGGATCTCCACCCCTCTCTGCTGTCGAGGTGCCTGCCCCAGCCTCCCCGCTGCTCTGGGGGCTCGGAGGACCGGAGGTGGGCAGAGGCACGAAATACAGATCAAATAAGATCAACCCTAGCCCCTCCCCCTTAAATCTTCCCATTCAGACTCTCCGCTTTAAATCCCATCCCCTAGCTCTTAAATGCCAAGCTCCTTAGTGTGGCTCATAAGGTCTCTTAAAATCGGTTCTCTCACGGTCTCTCCACTCCTAACCCAGCGCAGCCCCCACCTCTTGGGTTTTGTTAGGCGCTTGCAGGATTTTGCAAAAGCCATGACCTCGCCAGTCTGCACACCTGCACGGCCAGCCCCTGACCGCCCGCACACACACCTCCTGGGTCAGGGTTCTGAGAAGGCTACTGCTGTGTTTAAGAAACTCCATAGACCCTAGCCCTCTCTGGTTCAGGCAAATTCTCTTTTATTCCCAGGATGCTCCAGAAGAGTCATAGTTTGCAGCCGATTAAATGGGGGCGTGGCCAATGGGCCCCATGGTGAGTCGCGGGCGTGTCCTGCAGAGAACGGGGGACTCTAAAAACGCAAATTACCTGGTTTATTCCACAGTTGCCCAAATCTGGGTCAGATCGACTTCATGAGCCCCCTCTTCCTGAACTCCCCACTTCCCACGGGAAGACTTTTTCAGGCAGAGTTTCAAAGTTTTATGGCAACTTGTACAGAAATCACAGAGAAGAGACAGTAGGTAATGCCGATGGCTGGGGGGAGGAGGGGCGTGGGAACGCGTCCCGGTGTTGGGGCTGATGCACAACTGGACAATAGAATGCAAAAAACCTGTGGGAAGCCGGAGTTTATGGGGGTGGCAGGGTCATCCTAGGGTCTCAAGGAGGGGGCAGCACTCCCCGCTCCCCAAGTGCGGCCCTTAGGAGACATCAACAGTAAGAAAATGCAGACGGCCCACCGGCAGGTGGCGGGCTCCAAAGTTAAAAACGCCCACCCAGGCCCAGGCCCGCCCCCGTCCCCCGCCGGGCAGGGATGTGGCAGCATTTGTGGCTTGTAGCGTTGGTCCTCTGGGACCCTCGGGCTCCTCTTCGAGGGTCCTGCCCGGATGGGCTCGCACTGAGGGCAAAATGAACTTCCGAGGCTGTCAGAGAAGCCCAGTTGTCTCCCCGCAGCTGGCCCGCAAGGCTGAGGGAGTCTGCTGCCCTCTCGAAAGCAAAGTCTGTCACCCTTTCCCACCTACATGCACCCACCCGCATCCCATCCCCGCACACACTATGTACACGCACGCGCAGCCCCTCCCTCCAGGCGCGGGGCTCTCAGAGGTAGTGGAGGGCAACGGGGCGCTGGAATGTGAGAAGTTGCGGGTCCCAAAAGTGCCTCCTCCAGCGAGCCTCGGGACTGAACCCCGACTTCTCCGAGCCTCAGTGCTCCCCGAGCTCGAGTGCAGGCCGCAGGAGAGCTGGGCGCCGCCCCCGCGCACACCCGGCCGGAGCTCCCGGGGCCTGGGCGGAGCTCCCTGAGGGCGGGGGAAGGGCCGAGACCTGGGCATCCCGGGACCTGGGGGGCCCGGGGAGGGTGGCGCCAGGAGAAGGGAGACTTCTGGCCGTCCAGGGAGAGAGCAGTTGAGTTCTGGGGACCAGGGAGGGGCCTGGAGGTGGACTTTTCCCCAGGGACGAGGGCAGAGAGGGAGGGCGGCTGAGGGCCCGGGACAGAGGACGAGGCCTAGGACCCCGGGGAAGGGCAGGCGGGATCTCAGGAGGAGAAGGCCGAGTCCCGGAGCGCGCCCGGGTGAGGCTGAGTCCGCGTGGGCCTAGAAGCCGCGGATGTGGCAGTACGCCTCGAGGCTGGCGAAGAGGATGTAGAGGAGCCAGAGGCCCAGGAAGAGCGCGGCGGTGGCGAGCTTGGGCCCGCGCGGGCCGCCCAGCTCGCCGCCGATGTGCGGCCGGCGCCGGTAGAGCAGCACGGCGATGCCCACGAAGGCGAAGACGGTGAAGAGCGTGACGGAGAAGGCCAGCGTGCCGGTGCGCACCTCGAAGGGCCGGCCCTGCACCGCCCAGTACACGGCAGCCACCGACCAGGCCACACCCAGGCCCAGGAACACGTTCACCGCGTTGGAGCCCGTCACGTTGCCGATGGACGCGTCCGCGCACTGGTCCTGCAGCGCCGCCACCTTGCTGGCGAACGTGTCTGCGGGGACACGGCACGCGAGTCAGCACTCGGCACGCGACCAGCGCCTGCTCTGTGTGGGACAGGTCTGCCTCGAGTGGGCTCCGCCTCCAGCTTCCCTGGGACGCACTGTGTTCTTTTTGAGACAGGGTCTCCCTTTGAGTTCAGGCTGACCTTGAACTCACTATGTAGCCCAGGGTAGCCTCGAACTGGCAGTGATCCTCCTGCCTCAGCCTCCAGAGTGCTGGGATGACAGGCATTCTCTTCTATGCCCGGCTAGTACCTCTTTCAGTCAGACTAGCATGGCTTCATGGGTCGCAGTCTCTTTCTTGGGGCGCTGTCTAGCTTTCATTGACCCCTCTGCCGAGTGTCTCTGGGACTCTCGCCTCTGTGACTTGACTGTATTCACCTGGCTCATTGCCAGCATTCCGTGAGTTTCGATGCCTCCTATTGTTTATCCTCCTTATGGTACTGGAGACCGAACCCAGGGGCCTCACACTGAGCTACATCCCCAGCCCTTTTTGGTTTTGAGACAGGGTCTAAGTTGCCCAGGAAGAACTCGAACTTGCCATCTTCCTGCCTCAGCCTCCCACGTGCTGGGATTGTAGGCATGCACCACCACATCCTGCTCCACATCTGGCTTCTACCATTCCACCTGCTTGCTTTTGGGCAGGATTCAATTCACACATTGCACCCACGGGACCCCTTCCTAGCTTCTTGTATGCACCCCAGCATGTTTCTCCAGGACCCTTCCTTTATGCTGCCCCTGCCCTGAGATCCTGACCCAACAAGTAGTCTTTGGGGAGTTACCGGGGATGGAGGTGCCCAGTGCCACGAAGACAACAGCATTGACAGAGTCTTTGAGGCCCACGGTGCACCCAAAGTGGGAGGCCAGGTCCCCGATGAGGGCGGTGAGCAGGCCGATGACCAGGATGCAGACGCCAAAGCAGGCCCAGCCGTGGCAGTACTCAGTGGGGGGCACGCAGGCGAACAGCACCTTCCAGAACACCGTCAGGAAGTGCATCACGTAGTCAAAGCAGGATGGCAGCCGCTCCTCTCGGGACCCATCCTCTTCTTCCTCCTCATCCCCTGTGGGCACATGACCCAGCTGGGGCACAAACCTGTGGTTCCTTCCTCATCTACAGAAGCCCCATTTAATTTTATTTCCAGACAATGAGTCCCACAAAACTGTTTCCCTAGAATCCCTTGAAGCTGGGTGTGGCCATGTCAGCAGCTAAAAATAGTTACTTTCCCTGAATCCCTTGCAGCTAGGTGTGGCTATGTCAGGAGATAAAAAGTTACTTTTTCAGAATCCCTTGCAGTGAAGTGTGGCCATAGGAGTAGCTAAAATAATTACTTTCTCTGAATCCCTTGCAGCTAATAGGGTATACAGACCAGATAAAAATACTTACTTTCCCAGAATCCCTTGAATTTGGAGGAGGCTGTAGGTGCCCTGCTAAAAATATCCAGCTTCCCAGGATCTCTGGTTGCCAGGGATGGCCATATCCCTAGCTGAAAGTATTCTTTTTCCCAGAAGCCTTTACGGCTACTGAAAGCCATATCCACAGCTATAAATATTCACTCCTCAGATTCACTGCAGCCAATTGTGGCCACATACTCAGCTAAATGTATTCACTGTCCCACAATCTCCTGCACAAGGGAGAAATATAAACCCAGCTAAAAATTAGTCACTTTCCCATAATCCCTTGAGACAAGCAACAGCCATGTCCTCAGATAAATATATTCACTTTCCCAGAATTCCTTGCAGCTAGCAGGGCTAAATATATGATTTCCCAGAATGCCTCACAATGGTGGCCATCTCCCCCAGGCTGGCAGTGAGACCCAAACAGACGGTGGAGGCTGTAGCTTCTCTGCTGTGGCACTGTGCAGCGCTGTGTCTTCTGAGCTTTGTACAGGACAGTGTGCCTCCTACTGTGGCTCAGTTTGGCCTGCTTTGCCCTGCAGAGTTGTGCAATGGGAAAACACAAATGAAAGGCCCCAGCAGCCTCACCTAAGCTGGTAAGCATAGGGTGGTGCAGTGTCCATCGGGGTGGACACCGATAAGAAGCATCCCTGGCCCTGACCAGTCACTCAGTGACCAGGGAGGAAATGTTAGGACAACCAGCAAATAACAGACCTGCTTCCCAGGTCCACCTGATGTCTCCTCAATGTACTCTCCAAGAAACCCCAGCGTGTCAGCGAGCAGAAGACAGCCGTGGCGGTGGAGGCAGGGAGAAGGTGATGGATTAAGGGACTCAGTCATGTATTCCCTTCCCATGTGTCCAGCTTACCCAGATGCTTGGCTTGTCAAAGGAATAAATGTCTGGATTTGTAAATGCTTAACCAAGGGCTTTGCTGCATCTCACACAGCTGCCACATCAAGTAAAATGGAGTTAGAAACTAAAGGTGGAAACTTCAGCTCAGCAGGTACTGCCCTTTCTTCATGTTTGGAATATGGGCTTGACACCTGGAGCCATGGCAGCCATTTTGCAACCAACCACAAGGGCAAAAGCTGAGAATGAAAAGGCAAAATAAAGAAGCAGGAACATTTAACATTACCAAGCCACTGCCCCAGCTCACTACTACAGATTTTTCTGTGAGAAAAAGAAATTGCAGTGTGCTTGGGCCCCTTGCAGTTTTCTGTTGTTTGCTACTGAACTCACCCCTAACAGATCCACAGTGTGCGTGCCCATGGTCAGAGTGGAGGCTGTGCTTTCTGGGGTCTTGTCACTACCTCACTTGGGGCTTTTCCCTACCCTGCTCCAAGTACTGCTCCACCAGACCTGCTGACCTCGGACTTCATCCTGTACCTTTCTTCTCAGTGCCGAGCTGGGCACCCTCTCCAGAGGCACCTGCATCTCACACTTCCAGATGCACTGCCCACTCACCCTCCCTGCCTTGTCCTTCCTTGTGGTTGGCAGGTGTCCCGATCTGAAGACACACAGTGCCTCCTCCTCTGAAGTAGCCCCTGGCCTCCAGGCTGGGTCAGGTACCCCATCTGGGCTTGCCTTGGGGTCCCCCAACCCAGCCCTGCCGCCCGTGGGTTGCCATTGTCTTGCAACATGTCTGTCTCCACCACAGGACAGGGCCAGGGCTGTCTCGGTCACTTCTGGATTCCCAGAAACCTCCTGCCTGCACCTGTTTCTCTTCCACCTTGGGGCCTAGTTTCTTTGGACCCTATGCGTTCAGTTCCCCTCAGCTGGAGCCTCCTCAAAGGAAAGCCGATGTGTGATGGACAGAATCCTTGAGCTGTAATTTTGGTCTCTTCTTGGACTCCCCGTGGGGTTTCAGGCCAATCCCTCCTATACCTCGGAGACTCAGTTTCCCCAATCTATATCACAAGGGACCAGTGTTGGTCTCGAAGATCAGATTCACGGTTCCAAGTGTCCTCACTCTCTGGCCACACGGGGGCGCTGCGCGTCCGCCTGAGGCCGAGCAGGGTGGGGACGGTGCAGGTGGGAGAGTCTGGTGTCCTTGGTGACTGTCTCCATGGCAACAGAGGAGCTGGGCTCTGTCTGGGGAGGCCATGCCATTTCACCCGGTCCCACCCCACCCACCCTGGCCTGATGCCCACTGCCTGGAGAAAACGCAGGCTGGGACCCCTCAGCCCAGAGCCAAGACTGAGCCCTGCCCTCGCCCTCTGCCCATTCTGGACCATCTTCCCGTGTCCGTGGCCCCACCTCTGGCTCAGTGTCCCTCACCAGTGTGCAGGAATATTCATTCATTGTTCCTTCTCAGGTGTTCTGTACGTATCTCTGTGTATCTGTCTCTCCCCTCTTTCCTTCCCTTCGCTTTTCTCCACCTCTTTGTTCTTCCCTTTTGTGTCCATCTCTGTTGGTATCTGTCTTGTCCTTTCTCTTGTTGCTCTGTCCTTCTCTCCCTGTTCCTCTGTCCATCCATTCATTTCTCCCCCTTTCTCACTGATTGATTGTGCTGGGGATGAACCCAGGGCCTCTGCACTGAGCTACATCCTCAGCCCTTTTTGATTTTGAGATAGGTTCTTGCTAAGTCACCAAGTTGCCCGGGCTGGGCTCAAACTTTCGGTCCTCCTGCCTCAGCCTCCCAGAGTGTGGGATTATAGGTGCCCACCACATCTGGCTCTGTGTCTGTCTTTCTTTTTTTTTGGTACCGGGAATCGAACTTGGGTCCACAGCAGGTGGCAAAACCACTGAGCTAAATCCCTGGCCCTCTGTGTCTGTCTTTCACCCCTCTCTCTTCTTCTCCTTCCTCCCTCTCTCTCCACTTACCTGCACTCACTGTCACTGCTTCTAAAAACTGCTCCCTCCACGAATGGGTTCCGATCACCAAGGCCAAGTTCGTTTTCTTGATGAGTTTATCCACTGTGTTCTGGGGGCGAGAAGTCGGGGAGCGGTCACTCCCCACAGCACCCCGAGTGGTTCCATGAGGGGCACGGGGTCGGGCGCTCACACCCACGCTCAGGGCTCCTCTGCCACACCCGGCTCAAGCAAGAGAAAGGCCGGCCCGCTGTCCGTGGTGCTGACACCGGCGCCAGACCAGGGCCTGGACCCCTTGGTGGGCAGCGCCGGGGGTCTTTACCCCCCCTCCCCCGGTCTTTCCCAGGGAAATACCGAGGCCAGACTCCGGGAAGCTAAGGCACCCCCGAGTCACCTTAAAGTCATAGGATTCCTCGATGATGACCTCCAGCCGGCAGTTCTCCCCCAGAACCGGCTTGCCCATCTCCGCTATCCTTCGGGCCTCCTCCTCCTCGGCCGTCAGCTTCCTGTCCCCATCTCCTGCAGCGCAAGGCGGGGGTTAGAGTCCCCAGAGGCCTGCCCACTGGGCCTGCGATGCCGTTACTACTTGTCCCTTCCATATAACCCTGTCTGTCCTCTGGGAAGACTCCTCCCAGCTTGTCTGACCACCCTCTCCCTTCGCCCTTGAAGCTCGGTTGGTGGACTCTGGGGCTCACATGGTGGAGGCCATTCGACCTCGGGCAGTGTCAGCCTCTCCGTGCCTCAGTTTTCACATCCATAAAACGGGCACCCTAACAATAACTCTCATAAGATAGTGCGAGAGTTAAGTAATCTAATTCATGCGAAGTGCTCAGCACAGGGCCTGACGCACAGTAAATATTCAGGGAGTGCTACTTTCTTTCTTATCATCACCAACGTCATCATCATTGCCATTGGCACCCTTGTGGGAGGACTCTTGGTCTCTACCTCTGAGCTCTGGGAAGACCCTAGTGTCTGAGGTGATGAGGGAAGGGTGTGCTAATTCCGGCACAAATTTGGGATCCAGGCCCGAAGATCATGCATCTTCCCAAAACATGTTGGCTCTTTAAAGCCAGTGCCAGGCCAACTCCAGCTCTGGTACCCAACTCCAAGCCTGATTCTGCCTGGGGCCCTAAATGCAACTCCATCACCAACCCTGACTCCAGACTTGGACCCTCAACCTCAGATCGGACCTCAGCCCAATCCTAACCCTAAATGCCCATCCCAATTCTAACACCCATAATCTGGCGCATCAGTGACCCCCAAGTCCGGTCTCAAACTCCAACCCCAGACTTCACTGCTGCGGTACACCCGACCCCAAACCTCAGACCTGATTCCCAACCCGGCTACCATCATTAACGAAGAACTTGACCGTGTAGCAGGGACTGCTATGGGTTCACCCAAACCTCTTCCCTTTCCCTCCTGGGCAAACAGCTGAACTACATTTCCCAGCCTTCCTTGCAGCTGTGCTTGGCAGTGTGCTTGTAAGACAGGAAATAGAGTGTGGGCAGAAGGTATGGACAGTTGGCCCTCGAGAGCTTCCCATGTGTTTCTCCAGACTGCTTTGCTCTGTTTGCCACATGGAAGCAGAGCCCCTCAAAGTGCTCCATGGCATGGTGGAGCCACATGGAATGGCCACATGGCAGAGGAAAGTCAACCACCAACAGGGGATGCTCAGAAAACTGCCTGAGCAAGAAATAACTTTTGTTGTATTGAGCCCTGGGGATTTACAGGCCTGTGTGTTACAGCAGCGTGTGTCACTTACCCTAAGGAACAGTCTAACCCTAACCCTAATCCTAAACTCCACTTCTGATCTTAGCTCCAAAGCTACTCTGTCGCTATCTTCAAGAAACCCTAATCCAGACCCCTCAAAATCTATTATATCAAGCTGATTCCCTCTGACCCCACCACAGACCCCGATTCTACGGTGTTCACTTCCCCTAGCCTTGACCACAAGCATTCTTTTTTGGGGGGGGGGGTACCAGGGATCGAACTCAGGACCTTGTGCTTGTGAGGCAGGCAGCAGAACCACCGGGCTAAATCCCTGGTCCAAACACAAGCATTCTTGACCTCCGCACCCCTGTGACCTCAACTCCCACAGTCCCACCCCAAATCTACCTGCACCCCACCTTGGGCTCTGCCTCTCCCCAGCGCCCCTCCGGGGGCTCCTCCCCCTGCGAGCCCAGCCCGGAGGTGACCCCACTCACCTTGATTGAGCAGCAGAGCTGGGGAGAGACAGAGACAGGAAGACAGTGAGATAGCTTCACCGCCAGCGAAGCTCAGGCGCACCAGCGCGAGGGAGCGCCTGCAGCTCAGCCCCGAGGGCCCCAAGCCCTGGGCCCCTTTTCTCCCACAGCCCACCCGACGCCCCTCACCTGAAATCCCTCGCTTAAGCCACTGGGGCTGGCCCAGCTCAATGAAGAAGTTATCCTTTTTCTCGTACTCCTCGTCGTCCACGATTTTCACCTGGAGCGTTTTCCTGGGCGGGAGGCGGAGCAGCAGTGTAAAGCCCGAAGGCCCGGCCCGGGCAGCTCCTCCCAGCCCCCCACCGGCGCCGGAGCGCGAGGCTTGCGTGCCCCGCCCCCATCCCACCCAGTCCTCAGCGGCCCTCAGTGCCACCGGCTCTATCACTATTCCCATTTGTCAGAAACAGACCCAGAGGGCTATGGAAGGAGCCAATCCGAGCTCACCAAACCACAGGGCCTGAACATCTACCTGTGGAACGCGGAGTCCAGCCAGCCCGGCCACTGTCACTTCCTACCTGGGCCACCACTCTGATCTCTTCCCAGACTTGCTGCAGCCTCACCACCCATGGACTAAGCTCCTGGTAGCAGCCAGAGGGATTTGATAGCAGCCAGGCTGGACTAGCTTCCCCTTCTGCTCCAGACATGAGCACGGCTCCCATCTCACTCGGAATAAAAGCCACATCTGAGGATGGCCTCCATGCAGCCCAGCCCTGTTCCCTTCCCTTCCCGAACAGAGCAGGGCTGCTTGTGCCCCAGGGCCTTTGCACTGGCTGTGGCTGTCACCTCTGCCTAGAGCACTCCTCCTGGGCTCACTTCCTCGGTCCCATTCTCTGTCCATGCTTCACCTTCTCCATGAGGTCACCTTTTGTCACCTTCTGGATACTGAAATCCATCGATCCACCCCAGTACTCTTAGCTCCCTTACCCTGCTTGGTCTTTTTTTCACATCCCCTTCTAATATACCATTTAATGTATTTATTTATTTAGCTTATTATTTGCCATTTACCTCTTCACTTTAACATGTAAGCTCCACCAGGCAAGTTCATTTACATTCTTTTTTTGTATCCAGTACCCTGCTCTGTGTCTGGCACTACTACACCCTCTATAAATATTTTGTCAACTCAAATTCATTAGCACAGCGTCTTCCTGCCCCCCATCCTGACCACATTGGGAGGGTTAACCAGGTGCTACTGGCTTTTCTCAGCGTTTCTGCTCCCATGGCACCAGGGTGTGGTAGGGAACAGCCAGCCATTACCTGTCCCTTAGGCACATAACCCTGAGAAGGCAAAGACCCCAAGCCCAGAACGACCACAGCTCTGCCACCAGCAACTCTTTCAGCTGTAGAAGCCACGTGGTCCCACAAGGCCTGGCCCGAGAGCCCAGCAACACAAACACCGGCCCACGCAGTCACCAGGAGAGGAGACGCAGCCAGCCACGCGCCCACGCCCCACGCCGTCACTCCCGCAGCCATTCCCTAGGCAGTGGCAAAATCACGCCGACCGGACACCCCTGAGTTAGCACAACACCCCCACCACGGCCGTGGCGACTCTGCCAGCCCACAGGCCGTCCGGTGACACCGTGTCCACCCTCCCTCCTTGAGTCTCAGTTTCTGATTATTCTCTTTAGCGTCTCTATTTCCGTCTTCCTGTCTCAGCTTCCCCGGGCCTCTATCTTTCCATCTCTAATTTTGTCTGCGGCTTCTCTGTCTCAGTCTCTCCCCTCCTCTCAGCCCTTTTTATCTGTTCTGCCCTGTGTCCCTGCCTCTTAGCGTCCACCGAAGAATGAAATCATTGCTCTGAATCCACGCAGAGACGTCATTCACAGCGGCGTCTGGACAGGAAACCGTGCGCAGGACACAGCGACACGACACCACTGGGAGGCCAGGACGTGGGGAGCTGCGCCCTTCCTCCTTGAAGCGTGAAGCCCCTCCGAGGCGAGGCGGGGTCACACCCAGACGGCTGCCGGCACAGTGACACGCTGACACACAGCTCCGTCGCGTGCTCGCCTGCTGACAGTGACTGGCGGGCGGTGACAGGCGCGTCAAGTGGTGCCTGCCTGGCGTTCCCTGGGGGACCCAGGAGGAGAAGCCCCACTGGGAGGGAACCCCCAAGACAGGCTCGAGCTAGAGGGCAGGCCTTCGCGGCTCTGAGGAAACAGCCCTGCTCTCGCCTGCTCCCTCTGTCTCCAGTCTCCTCCCTTTGCCTCAATTGCCGTCCCGCCTCTCTGTCTCCTCCTGCTGTATCTCTGCCTGGTTCTTTACGCAGTCTCCCGTCCTCCCAGTCTCTGGCTCTCCTCTGTCTGTCTGTCTGTCTCTCACTCTCTCCACCTCGCCCTCTCGGTGTTGATCCTGCCGGGGCCTCCCCTCCAGCTAGGCTGCTTCACGCGCGTGTAATTAGTGCCTGCCCGCCAGTCACAGGAAGGGCGTGTTTCCCTCAGCGCTAATTAAGCCTCTCCTTCGTGGTCTCCCAGCTGGCGGCGCGGGCGGGGCGGGGCGGGGCCGAGGGTGTCCCAGCCCGGGGAAGCCGGCGGGGGAGGACGGGGAAGTAAGTGGGTTAGAGCACAGGAAGGACTGGCACGGTGCAGACAACTTTCCGCTTCCCCCGCCTCTGGGGTGTGAGAGATGGGGCTGGGATGGTGCCCCCAAGTCCTCAGTGGCCCTAAGACAGGAACCCAGGCAAACACAGGAAGAGATGGGGCGTATGGAGAGGACGGCTGGAGTATAACGTGAGTGGGAGTGTCAGCGGGGACAGGGACCCGGAGAGTAGATGCCTGGGAGCCAGAGACGCAGGGCCCAGGGCGAGGCGCAGACAGCGCGGGAGAGGCTGAGGCGCGCCGGGTGCGGGCACCGAGGAGGGAGGGGGCGCGCGTGGGCGGCGGGAGGAGAGCAGACGGCCGTGCGGGGGCGGCGGGAGCGGGCAAGCGAGCGGGAGGCGCCGCCGGCATCCGGGCAGGCGGAGGGGGAGCGAGCCTGCCAGGCTGCGGCCCCCGGAGGGGTGGCATCTGTGCAAACGTCTCTGTGCCGACCCTGCGCCCGTGTGTGCGTCTCCACCGCGCGTCTGTGCAGCTGCCCGCCCGACCCCCAGCACCCCACGCCCTGCCACCTTTCCCCAGAGCCTCCACCACCTTCCCGAGCTCTCCCGGGACTTCCGGGGTCTTCAGGTCCCGCCCACCCCGGCCCGATTTTCGGTAGCCTAGGTGCATTTCCTCGGCCCTACCAGGCCGCATCTGGCCTGCACCCTCCGCTTCCGCCTTCCCTCCTGACACTGGGCCGCCTCCTTGGGCCACACTCGTCCAGCGGTGGATTAGGGCGCCACCCCTCTCTCCTCAACCCTTATCCCATCTCCTTTCCGGGCTGGCTCTCTTGTCCTTCCACCCAGTCTTTCTTTTTTCGGTACCGGGGAATCGAACTCGGGTCCTTACGCTTGCGCAGCAGGCAGCGAAACCACTGAGCTAAAACCCCGGCTCACCCAGGTCTTTCTTATCACTTGTCAGACCCCTTCTCCAGGCCTCGCCCTACCTCTTCGATTCTGGGTCACGGGCCCACCCAGACCCGGCCCCACTCCCAGTCAAGCGCCAGTTCTCAGGCTTGGCCCAGCTTTGCCCCACCCTGTCCCCACAGCCCCATCCAGACCCCACATTTACAAGGTCCCCCCCAATCCCCTCGGCCTCGCCCTCTCCCCCATTCAAACTTATTTCTCAGGTTTGGCCTACTTTAGCCCCGCCCACCACCAAGGTCCCGCCCAGTCCCCACGGCTCCACCCCCTCTCCAAGCCAAGTTCCACCTCTTCAAGGTCCCACCCAGCCCTGCCCATTCCCACAGCCTGCTCCCTCTCCTACTCAAGTTCCATATTTCTCAGGCAAGGTTTAGTTTGGCCTCGCCCCGTCTACAGGGCCTGGCTCCCTCTTCCAGTTAAACTCCATTTCTCAAGCCCCGCCCACGCCTCCCCGCTGCGCTTGCGCAGACCGCTCACATGGTCTCGTCGTCGCCGAACTCCAGCTCTCCACACGCGTCCTCGTAGTGCACGCCACCGCCGCGCGCCGTGCCGTCCACCGTGCGGTAGGGGAGGCGCACGGTGCCGCGCGCGCCCGAGCTGCGCACAACGCGCACATCCACAGTGCCCATGCACTCGCTCACGTGCAGCAGGCGGTCCTGGAAGGAGAAGATGCCCGCGTGGTCGTCGTCCAGGATGGTGACGGTGGCCAGCAGCGGCGCCACCAGCCGCCCCTTGGGCCGCCCGCCGCCGTCGGGCTCGAACATGCCCTGCGCGTCGCCCACGCGCAGGTTGAGCAGCCGCACGAAGAAGTGCTCGTCCTCCTCGAAGATGTCGTCGTCGATGATGCCAATGCGCAGCTCCTTCTGCGTCTCGCCCGGCTTGAACACCAGCGTGCCCTCGCTGGGGAGGGCGAGAGGAGAGGGCGTCAGGTGGGGGCGGGCAGGAAGGGGGAGGGCAGCGCAGCAGGGTGGGGAGAGCCCCGAGGCACATTCGGGGTCTCTGCTAGGCAGTCTGGATCGGAAACATCTGGGTTTCCAGAGTCTGCATTCCTACTCGCAACAGGGAGTGTGGAATCTGGTATGGGCCCACCTTGAGCAGCAGAGACCTTGGAGCTGCCCTCACTCTGATAAAGCCCTTCCGTGCGTAAGTGGACATCAAGTGCGGCAAACACTCCCCAAGCACCTGGGCCAGACCTGAGCGGTGCTGGTAACCAGCCCCTGTCCTCAAGGGGCGTGTAGCCCCATGGGAGAACTGTATCACAGTGAGTGGCAGTGACACTCCCAGTGGCTTAGTTGCATTTCATACACTCATTCAACGAACACCAGCAGCACCCGCTGTCCTCCAGGCAGGGGCGTGTGTGTCCAGGACACAGCAGTGGCTCTAGGTCAGGGAAGGAGGGAGGAGCTTTCCTCTTTGAGGAAGCTAGTGCAGAGCTCCTGAGGCCAGAACTGGCCCAGTGTGTCATGGGACAGCAGATACAGCAGGTGGCTGCAGCAGAGGGACTAAGGGACAAGAGGGGACAGTGACAGACCAAGGCCTCCATGGGCTGCATCAGGGCAAAGCCCTGAGGACTCTGGGAGGTGGGAGCCATGGCAGGCACTGGAGCAGAGGGGAGAGGAGCACTGGCTTAGCATCTCTGCAATACCTACAGGGTGTCCTGTGGCATGAACGAGGCAGTGGTATCAGATTAGTCAGGGGACAGGGAACGAGTGGGCTCCCCCGGCAGGACTGCAGAGCAGCCAGGCTCGGAGATGTCACTGACTCTGCAGACTCCATTATTTCCCGGCCCTTCCAGTCTGCATGTGGAGCACCTGTCAGAGGCCTGCTCCACGGTCCCAGCCTTGTGTAAAGACTGAGCCCTGGGCCAAAGTTAGCCATTGACACTCGTGTGTGAATGTTGGAAGCGCAGAATCTAAAGCCTCAACTGGCATGGTGGTGCACGCCTGAGAGGCTGAGGCAGGAAGATCATGAATTTGAGCAATTTACCAAGACCCTGACTTAAAATACAAAAAGAGTTGGGGATGTAGCTGAGTGCCAAGGCCCTGGATTCAATCTCCAGTATCACAAAAACAAGCAAAAGACACTGAAAGCAAACAGGACAGGTTGTGAACAGCTGATGGCTCTAATCACGGCTATGTCAGAGTCGAGCCAACTGTCCCTGCAGCCCTTCTGTGCTGTGAGGCTTTCAAAATAAAAAGTAGGGGGTTGAGGATAATGGCGGTCCTGGAGGCGGGCAGCAGGTCACAGAAGGCTCGACTCTCAGGGCTCCTGTTCCAGAACTGGACAAGACAAATAGAACCACGGATCGGGCTCTGCCTGGGCAAGGGTTACAATTCCCAATGTCCCAGAATGTTAGTGCTCGGCATTTAGGCTCATAGGGCTTGTCTCTCAGAATGTTGGAGTAGCTAAGCTGTTTGGGGGCCTCAGAGATCGTGTTTCATTTGGAGAAACTGGGGGGGTTATCCTAACACAAACGAGAAGAGTGCTTTCTTCCTTCAAGGCACCTATTTCCATGAGTCAGGAATTTTCACAAGAGACGTGCAGATCTACCATGTCTGTGTCTGATGTGGTACACCCAGGAGGACACAGTGTCCCTTCCATGGGATTCCTGCCAAAAGCGCACAACTTAAGTCTAATTTCAAGGAAGCATTACACAGATGGGGACCTCAGGTATGGTACCTTTGTGCAGGGCACAGCCTCAACAACTGTACATAGCAGCCTTAACTGCCTGGATTGAGGTAGAGAGTTGCTCTAGGGACAGAGTTTAAGGTGAACTCCAGTAGTAAACTGTGTCTCCTTCCTCAGCTCCCAGAGAAGTGATGCCAAGGATTGAATGCAGACTGGGATGGCAGAGCCACAAGTCCCAATACAGTGAATGCAGCTTCCTCAACCGGGGAGATGTGGGGCTGGGGTACGGTGACGGCAGGGACACCCCCACAGGTTGAGGGCTGCCGGACCCACTAAGGCAGAGGGCCGAAGCCACAGGCACCCCGAGCAGTGGAGAGAGGTGACAGAGTGACAGAGAGGGAACCCTGGGCTGCGAGGTCTTGGCTGAGGTGGAACCGGAAGTGTGCGAGACAGGGAACTGAGCCCAGCCAGAAAAGGGCTGAAGGGATAGGGAGAATTCTGCCACCGAATGGGGCCTCAGGGACATGGCCGGCTCCCCTCTTGCCAGGTGGGGCCCTGCTTTAGTTGTCTTCACGGTTCTTGTCACTATCTGCGTGCTTAGGGTCTCTGTGCTTGCTCCCCAATGGTGTCTTTCCCAGGAGAGGACATGAGCATCATGTGCTTTGTCACCGATAGTTGTCAGTGTGGGCTTCATCTCTGGTGCAGAGATACATGCTAAATGGTGCTGTGACAGGGACTGCAACTTGAACATGAATGCAGAAAACACACTAGAAAGCTCTACATTTTCAGAGAGTTTGGTGTGGACAGAAGAGCTACAATGAACTGGGTGTGCTGGTGCATGCCTGTAATTCCTGCACTCAGGAGGCTGAGGCAGGAGGGTTGCTGAGAGTTGGAGACCAGTCTGGACTACATAGCAAGACCCTGTTTCAACAAAATCCAAAAACTACAGACAAACAAAACCACAAAGACTGGGAGAGGAGGCAAGAAGACCCATCTGAGTCACCTCATGGACCAGGTGCCAGGTATGCGGCAGGTGTCCACTAAATATCCCTGCTGTTGTGGACGCAGGGGGTGCCACTCACCAGACAGGAAACACAGCCAGCACTGTCACAGAGCTGCAGGATTCTGAGCCGGAGCCACAGGTAAATTCTGACTGAGGAGTCTGAGGTGGCTCATCTGTGGTTTTCGCTCACCATCATGGACTCACCTAGAGCTTGCTCCGGCACACAGTGGGGATCTGTGAATGTTTTCTAGTCCTCCTCATGGTAGGGGTGAACTGGACATGGTGGTGTGGGCCTGCAATCCTAGTACTCTAGGACGCTGAGGCAGGAGGATTTCGAGTTGGAGCCCAGCCTCAGCAATTTAGAGACTTAGTGAGACCTTGTCTCAAAATTAAAAAAAAAAAAGGCTGGGGATGTAGCTCAGTGTTGAGGCCTTGGGTTCCATTCCCAGTACCAGAAAACAAAACCAAACAAAGGCAGGAATGAGACTCGCTCACGCAGGTGCTAAACACACAGGAAAGCAGGGGACAGTGCGGTTTTGTCACTGGGAACAACGAGCATTACTAGAGGCCCGGGGTGCAGGCAGGAGCCTTATCTGTCTTCAGATGGGTGTGCAGTAGGTCATAAGCATTTTAACTGAGTGCGGGAGGGGCAGGTCTTCCCAGGGAACACGGATACAACAGTAATTCAAACATTGTGGCCCGAGGAACCATGTCTGGATCGGAGTCAGGCACCTGAGGTGCTGCAGAAATGCTGTTTATCCGGGGTAAGAGGAGACAGGCGACAGCCCCTCAGAGGGCGGGCTAAGTTGCCTGGGCAGTTGAGTGGTGTGCCGAGACCCAGACTCAAAATGAAAAGAGCTGAGGATGCGGCTCAGTGCCACCCAGCATGCACTAAGCTCTGGCTTCCATCGCCAGGTAGCAGTGGTGCACGCCTGTGACCCAGCCCTCTGGGAGGCTGAGGCAGGAGGATCGAAACTTTGAGCCCGGCCTGGCCAAAGTGTCTCAAAATAAATAATAAAAATGGCTCGGAGTGTGGCTCAGAGTGGAGGCCTGATTGGTTCGATCCCCAGGATTGGGGTGGGGTGTCGCAAATGAATGGCAGCGCGTGGAACAGGTCGCCGCCCGGCGCAGGGCACCCACCTGTACTCGTAGTCGGAGCCCGCCTTGGCAGAGCCGTCCTCCGTGCGGTAGTCCACGTAGAAGGTGCTGTTGCCCTCGCCGCCCTGGCAGGTGACGGACAGCAGCACGGAGCCGCAGTTCTCCAGGCAGTGGTACAGGCTGGGCTCGAAGAAGATGCGGCTGGCGCCGTCATCCTCGTCCTCGACGGCGCCCTCTGGCGGCGCCGCCCTGCGCGACGCGTCCGCCGCGTGCCGCCGCAGCACGTTGCCCGCGCCGGTCATCAGCCTCGTGGCCTGGATGCGGTAGAAGGCGCGGCTCTTCTGCTGGTGCAGCAGCGCGTAGTAGTTGGCGATGCCCACCAGCTGCTCCAGGTCCTTGTCCGGGTGCTTCTGCTTGAGGTCCTTGAGGATCTGGATGACCTCGCGGCGGCTGGCGTCCAGCTCACGCGCCTCGGCGGGGCCCGGGCCCAGCGCGCCCAGCTCGCCCGTTGCCTCGGCCCCCACGAACGTGCCGTCCAGCTCGATGCTCTTGGGCGGGTCGCCCTCGGCGCCGATGATGATGCCGCTGCGCGGGTCGGTGCGGTAGCGCTTGTACACGTACTTGTAGAAGAGCAGCCGCTTGTCGGCCATCCAGGCGAACACCACGCACACCGGGAAGAAGATGAGCGTCAGCAGCGCTTCCCACACCTGCGGGCCCGAGGGCGGGAGGGCGAGTCAGCTCCGGGCCGCTGCGCCGCGAGGGGGCGCGCTTGTCCCGCCCGCGCCCCCTCCTGTGCCAGTCTGTGGCCTCGGCTGTCCCACTCACCGTGGCCTTTCTGTCCCCCCTCCGTCCGTCCGTCCCTCTCCACCTCTCAGCGCCCTCCTTCCTGTGGGTCCATCTCCGCGTCACTCGGTGTGGCTGTCTCAGCGCCTGAGATCATCACTTCTCCAGTCTCTCTCCCATTATCTCCTCCATATCTCCATGTCCTTTCGCATCTTTTCTTTTTTGGTACCGGGGATCGAACTGGGGACCCTGTGCTTGCGAGGCAGGCGCCAGAACCACTGAGCTAAATCCCTGGCCCTTTCCTATCTTTTTGACGTCACCCATCTCTTTTCCTGTAAGTCTTCAAAGTTGTTCACTTTCTTAATATATGTCTCTCTTGGGGGCTGGGGATTTAGCTCAGTGGTTCCAGCGCCTGCCTCACAAGCCCAAGGATCCGAGTTCGATCCCTGGTACCAAAAAAAATAATATATA